CTTGAGGACAGGGGAGGCAGTGATGAAATAAAGGGGTATATTTGAGAAATACTGAGTGGGAATATTGGCAAGACTTGGTAGTTGATTATGAGAGAGAAGTTCTAGGTAACTTCCCGCTACCCTGGGTACTTGCTTGTGGTGGTGACAGTTCAGACAGAATGTATGGATAGGAGTGATTTTAGGTGGACCTCAGACACACTGAGTGCACAGAGTGAGCGAAGAGTACTTTGGAATGAACCCTAAGAATACAAATACCCTGTGCCAAAAGGGACTTCCTGGTGAAGCCACTTTTAGTTCAGCCCCCTACTGTTTACACAGTGCCCTCTGGTGGTCAGAAGATGCTATGCTGCCTCTTTATGATCAATAGATGAAAATGTGGAGACTGCCTGGATTAAAATACCTTTTCTCCTCTACTCCAGTAGGGAAAGAATATTCTAAAACCACTGTGTTCCCTATGCCTTCTGTGTGGACAAATTCACTTCCTAGACCTTTAATGTAGTCGTACAACAGAACCATCTCACTTAACATTCGTAAGTTGCTTGTTTGGCAAACTTAGCTATCCATTGCTCTGGAATGAAGCAAAAGAAGGCAATTTGTTACTCAGAGAGCTCTTCCCTAGGACCTCAGAGAAAAATAAATTATGTAGATCTAGTTTCAGTGAGTTTTTATCTTGCTTCACAGCCCATAAAAGATTGGAATGGTCAACGGCAGATCAGTACACCTTTCAAAAGTGATAAGGAGACAAAAATACCAACCAACCGACGAACAAACCACAAGCTCAAAAAGCATAACAGTCTGAGGACATTTTGTATAGGTGCAGACAACTCTTGTAAATTTGACCAGCTTCAGCATATCAGCAAAACAAATTGATGTAGAGGACAAAAATAGTCAGGTTGCCTTATATGTGGGAGCTGCAATAATATGAAGAGCACTAGACCAGGATTAAGGAGACCAAGGTCTTATCCTGACAACCACTAAAAGGAGATGTGGCTTTAAGCATATCACTTAACCTCTAAGGGCCTCAGTTTAAGTTTGTTCTCTGATCTACAAAATAGTGGATTGAACTCGATCACTTTATAAATTCACAATGACATTAATTTTTTAAAAATTGTGTTATGCTTGGATTGAAAAGGCAAAAAACATTTGTCATCTCTAGCTTATCAAAGAGTCCTTTGAGGAGTGTGATTATTCCTGTTTCATAGTTAATAGGATTAGAGAGGTAAAAAGTTTCCTGATGGCTAAGTAAGTGGTAGAGCTGGTATTCCTGTCTAGTAATGCTTGCTTCCTAGGCTTTTTTTTTTTTTAATTATTTTGCTTAACAAACATGTTCTAAGTGCCAGCGGTGTAGGAAGAGTGTGCTAGACACAAGAACACTAAGGCCATTAAGCCTTGTCCCTGTCCTTAGGGGCTCAGTACAGTAGGCATTACTGTACCATACTGCCCCTTGGATGTCTGCAGTGCTAATGGAGCAGTAATACTACAGCATTGTTAGGGTTCATGTACATCCACATTATGGTGTAACAGACCTCAGGGTCTGAGCATGGAACTGAGCCACCATTTATAGCATTGTTTCTATGGGAATGTGTTTTTCAAGTTCCAAATAACATAAAAAGAAGCTTTGGAACATAATTATAATTTCAGAACTTCCTGTACTAAGCACTGAATTTGGAATCTAATAACTAGCCAGAATGCTGAATTTAAACAGTGAATAAAATTTTCTACATGTGATCGAGTTTGTCACTTAAGTGGCTTAAAGTAAAACCTTTTATCTTTTTGTTTTCTTTTTCTTTTTTGATGGTATCAGGATTTGAACTTGGGGTCTTCTGCTTGCTAGGAAGGTACACTACCACTTGAGCCACTCCCTCAGTCCTTAAAATCATTTGTCTTTAGGAGCCTCTACGACTGCTCATTCTCAGAAATTTCAAGAAGAAAACCTAAAGAATTTAATCAGTTGTAAAGATTGGATTGTATACTCTAAAAAATGGTATACAAGAAAAAAATGCCGGTGCTTTTTTTTTGTTTGTTTTTTGGCAGTACTGGGGTTTGAACTCAGGGCCTCATGCTTGCTAGGCAGGCACTCTACCACTTGAGCCACTCCCCCGGCACAACATTTTTATAGGTGACAAAATTATCAAGACCATGATCTTGCTTGTGTTCTAATCCTAAGAAGTCCTCCCTTTGTGGCATACATATAATATTATATGCTTCTGTTTGGGTTGGTTTTTCATTTCTATAACAAAATACCTGAGGCAGGATAACTTAGAAAGAAAAGATTTAGCTCACAGTTTTGGTGGCTGAAAATCCAAACAGCATAGTACTGGCTCTGATGAGGACCTCCCTGGCTGTATTACCTCATTGCATGTTGTATCTGCAAGAGATCATACATGAGACAGGATGCCTGAGAAGAGGAGGGGCCATTCTCACTCTTTTATAATAACCCTTCTCTCAGGAGCTAACTGGGATCCTGTGAGAATTGCCTTAATGCTCTCAAGGGTAGCACTCTCAAAGATCATATGCCCTCCTGCTAGATCCTCCCTCTTAAAGGTCCACACACCTCTTCACATGGCCATACTGGGGACCAAGTTTCTGACCCATGAAACTGGGGACATACTTAAACCATATCCAAACCATAGCAGAAAATGGGTCTCATAATAGTACACATTTTGTAGGGTTTGTTATGAGTAGTAAATGCTAAAATGATATACAGAGGTACATGCATACATACATGTGTATGTATAATCACATGTGTTATGTAACACACACACACACACACACACACACACACACATATTGGATTTCACATTTTTTTAGTAGGAATGCTCAATCTATACTTGAATCCCTTTTGAAATCCAGAGGTAACTGCAAATGGTGTATAAATGGGGGCCACATTGAAAGTCCTGTGTGAGACTCCTCCAGACTCTCTCGAGACTATGTAGCTCAGCTTACAATGGTTGTGCCAGTCTGTGCCACAGTGTGGACTGATTATTTGCCTCACAGGAGGCTTCTGAAAACCCCTTTAAGTTACTTCATTCACTTTATAGACCCTTATTATTTGACTAATGCAAAAATGTTAGTTCCAGTATGAGATTGAGCCATAGGGAAAGTTACTTCTGAAATCTTACTATATCAGTGAAAAATTCACTGAAATAGCTAACACAGTATAGCTTGGGAACACAGTTGTTGCGGATGTCTACATGACATGTAGAGATAAGGCCCGTTACAGATAACGTTCACTTGAGGGTAATCACTTTCTTAAGAGTTCTCTGGGAAGGCCACACCCCGTAGTACCAAGGAAGTGGTTAATACTGTCTAGGTGGACAGGATCCTTATTTTCTGTCCTAGCACCGACTTTACCACAGCTACAGAGATCATGATACACTGTTTAACTGGCTCTAGGTCTTTGCATCTGAAATAAGAATGTTGGACTTAGATTCGGATCTAAGCTCTTACAAGCCTATGACTGTCTAAATTACTTAAGGTGCTTGGTGGCTTTGACTTTGAGATAAGTTGATAAATTTTTTCAAGCTGAAGTTTTTTAAATCCAGTAAAAAAAATTTTAGGGTCACCTAACTCCTTATTGCTGGATCACTACCCACTGGGTGTCCTTGTAGCCTTAAGGCAACAGTCCTTTCCAGAAGACACGAAGACCTTTGAACCGGCTGTTTCAGCCTCATCCCTGACTTCCAGCTGTGATAAAATTGTTCTTCCAGTGTTGCAGCTGGTAACAAACAAAAGCCATCACACGCTGACATCATAAAAACAGGAACAGCTGAAACATAAGGAATCCTTCCATGTAAAACTTTTAAGTTCTCTAAGTTTTCTTGGTAGCATTATTAAGGATGTCAAAAAATGAAAGCAAATGTTTGGAATTTGAGTGCAGTTATTTACTAAAAGTGAATGCATAATAACATTTCTAATACAAAATTATCTTCAAAAGATAAGCTGAAAGCCTTTCAGTAAATTTAGATCCCTCTAAATTTACCCACTGGGTAAAATCAGTTTTACTCAGACCTTGGACGGTTACATGATAACTGCTTCAATTTAAGTGGTAGGACACCTGTCTAGCAAGTGCAAAGGCCCGAGTTCAAATCCCAGTACTGCAAAAAAAAGAAAGAAAACCCAAACAAATAAAAGCTATAACTATACGTCTTCTTAGAAACTATAAGGTTAACATTGAAAATTAGACCTAGAGCTTGTTTAGCTTCCTGGGCTGTGACAGAACACGGATGGACATGTGGAGGCAGCAGGATTCGTACCCAGTCTGTTGCAAAAGAACCTTGTTCTCTCCAGTACAGCATGATTCCTTTCACAGAGTGGGCATTTTGCTGCACATGCAAATGTAATCACCACCAGTCTAGGAAAAGCCAAAATGCTTCACGTATCCTTGATATGGAACACCTGTGCACCTGCTGATTCTCAGTACCTTGTACAGTCCCTGAGACACCAAAGGTACTTAATGAACATTTATACCCCAGGCTGAGTGCTGTGGCTCGTGTCTATAATCCCAGCTATTTGGGAGGTGGAGACCAGGAAAATGCCATTTGAGATCACCTGGAAACCTTATCTCAACAAATAAGCTGAGTGTGGTGGTACACTTCTGTAATATGAACTATGGGAGAGGTGTAGGTAGGAGGTTTGCTGTCCATGGCTGGCCCTAGCAAAAACAGGAGATCGTATCTGGAAAAATAACTACAGCAAAAATGGGCTGGAAGTGTGGTGCCTGCCTAGCAAGTACAAAGCCTTGAATTCAAACTCCAGTACTGCCAAAACCAAAAATTGTTGAAGGAATAAATGTGCATTAAGTGCTTTGGATACTGTTACTTGTTTTAGTGTTTTGGTTTTGTTAGTACAGAATACATGTATTTTCTTTAATTCAATAGTGATGATAGCTTTAGATGTGCCTATGTTGTTGTATTAACTTAAAAATAAAAGTGCTTTTCATTAGGTGAGAAGGGTTCTTAGAACTTTCACACTATTTCTTTTTCTTTTTGTGGTACTAGGACTTGAATCTGCGGCTGTCTACTTGTGAGGTAAGCACTCTACCACTTGACCCAGAGCCTGACCCCAAAACTTGTTTTGAGTATTTTTGAGATAGGGTCTCAAGGAACCATTTGCCCAGGTTGGCTTCAAGCCACAGTGCTCCTGATCTCTGCCTCTTGAATAGCTAGGGTTACAGGTGTGAGCCACCGGCGCCTGCTCAGCCAGAAACTTTTAAAACTTTATGTCAACAAACTCTCACTGCAAGGATGCTTTGAAGTTATCTAGTTAAGACCTCCATTCTTAAATAAACATGACTACCACTGTGACAACAGCCAGTACTACTTCCACTAATTATTATGTACAAGCACTGCATTTTACACGGTGCCTCTGGGAATCATCATGTTGGATGTTATTTGAGGTATTTTTGCCACCTTGAAACTTAGAGTCAAGGAGGATAAACAAAAATTGATTGGACCCCAATCTCACACACACACACACACACACACACACACACACACACACACACACACCCGCCGCGCCAAAAAAAAAAAGTAGATTAGAACCCAGGTCTGTTGGGTACAAGTGTGGGGCCTGTGCTCTTTTTACTGGACAGTACTGCCCTCAAAAACATTTCATTGTTGGCTTTAATATGGGTATTCACTATCCTCTAAACAAGTTTGTTTCATTTTTTAATAACTCTTATGACTAGAAAGCCTTTCAGAGATATTTATCCCTCTGTCTCTTTCATGTTAATTAATTTTTATTAGGATATAGTCATTATACAGTGCCCTCTGCCTCTTTCTATTTATTTTTTGTTGAAGGTCTCTGAATCCTACAAAAATGACTAAAGACATAAAAATCTCATCCTACTTAGAATGGCCTTGGGCCAACATTTCTGTGTACTTTTTTTATCTTTTGGATAAGGTACTGTTCAGATATGTTTTATATAATTCTAATTGAAACAAATTTTATCTGTTTGATACATCCTGAAAATTTCCCCACTTTCTTCTGTTGGCTTCACTCATAAACCTAATTTTTAAAGACTAATGCATTTTAAAGAGTAAATTCTAGGATGTAGCTTTACCTTGGTTTACTTAACAACTGCCTAGTTACCAGGCACTCAGATTAAAGAACAGTGGTGAGTATCTTGTACATATGTTGCTTTTGTATTTTGGCACATGGGCAACGTGACTCCTCATGTTTGGGTATAGACATCCAAAATAGAATTTTGAAATATTTTATGTACTTGAAATGCTTATCTGGCTTCCACAAGGCACCGTCTTTGCAATTTTAAAAAGGCAGCAGGCATCCTCACTTTCATTTCACAGACCCACATCCCTGCCTAGGAACTCTGTCTTTAAGCAGGGAAATAGGAAGGAGGAGGCAGCATGGGCCTGTAGGTAGTGGGGACGAAGGTATGGGATTCATACTTGATCTGTGAGGAGCAGATAAAAGCAAGTAGACGTAAGTAAATGTAGGCACTTTTAATTACTACTGCAGGGATTGAGTTTGGGAGTGAGGAGTGAAAATTTTATTTCACTGAACAGCTTGTTAAATGTTCTTTTAAAGTTCAATAAAACTGTGTAGGAACTTGTTTTTCAGTAAAAGATAGGCTTTATGTATATAAAAGCTTTATGTGTACAGATTAAAATTTGAGGCTAAAATTGGAGCTTATTTTAGCTTTGTACTTGGGAGGCTGAGGCAGAAGGATCACCACTCAAGGCCAGCTCAGGCCAAGGTTAGAATGAGACCCCTATCTGAAAAACAAATTAAAAAGCAAAAGGATTGAAGGCATGGCTCAAGTGGTAGAGCGAACTTTAGGCCTTGAGTTCAATCCCCACTACTAAAGCAAAAAACAAACAACAACAAAAAATGCCCACCAATGTTGTTAAATGAAGAAAACTAGTTGCAGAATGGTCTATGTAGTATGATACCATTTCGGTTTAACCTAAACACAACAAAAGCAAACTGTATGCCTGGTGCATAGTAAGTGCTCAGTATGCTGGTGTGTACATTCATATATGCGGATCTGAAGGTACAAAAGTATCTGGAGGGGTTACCTCTAACAGGAGGTACAGCTAAGGTGTACTTTTATTCTGTGCACTTTGTTTGAATTTTTTACCATAAGCATGTGTTCTTTTATACTTTTTAAATAGTTAAAATGATGAGAGAAAAATTTATAATGTATGAATAGATACCTTCTCCCCAAAGAAGGTATCTTTATACCTTAAAGTACACTGAGCAATGTAAGATGTTTTCTGACCCTTCAGAATTATTGCTTCTCTAGTAATTTAAGAAAAGAGAAAAGTATTGATCAAATGTGCTAGGTACAATTTCTATGTAATTTAATAAGTTTTTTTTTTAAGTGAATATTTTTCTATGGAAAATTTCAAGTAAATATATAAAATAGAATTCTTATTATCTCTGAGGTTCAATAGTTGTCAACACATAGTCAGTCTTGTGACATTCATAGCCTCCTCACCCAGCTCATTTATTTTGAAGAATAGCTCAAATATATAATTTTATCTATATTACTTCAGTATGTTCATCTAAAAGATAAGGACTCTTAAGACAATCAAAAAGTCCATATCACACTTAAAAAAGGAGCAATAGTTCCTTATAATAAGTTATCTAAAAAGTTTTTAATACTCTGCAGTCTAGTTAGTAACTTTCAGCTAGTTGATATTTCATTTACTTTCATTATTTATATCCTTTAAGTACTTTTTTTTGGTGGTACTGGAGTTCAAACTCAGGATCTCATGCTTATTAGGTGGGCATTCTACCACTTGAGTCACTCTGCCAGACCAAGTACTTTTAAATTAATGTCTTAGCCAGGCACCAGTGGCTCATGCCTGTAATCCTAGCTATTTGGGAAGCTGAAATCAGAAGGATCAAGATTCAAGGCCAGCCCAGGCAAATATTTTATGAGATCCCATCTCCAAAATAACCAGAGCAAAATGGACTGGAGGTGTGGCTCAAGCAGTAGAGCACCTGCTTTGCAAATGCTAAGCCCTGAGCTCAAACCCCAGTTCCATCAAAAAGAAAAAAAAAATTAATGTCTTTTCCTTTTGAATTTTATATTCATTTTTCCCCTAGAATGAAGCCAAAATTAAACTTTGCTTTTGATGCCTTTGTTCTATATGAGAAACCTGAATAAATGGCTAGGTACCTTCATCTCCAAATTAAAAAAAAAAAAGATTCAGGTATATATTACTGTGTTTGCTACATTAGAAAGCTATTTATACCTTGATTGTAACAGTAAAGTTACACAAATCACAATCATGATAAAAATTTCTCTTTTTTAAGTGCTTTTCAGGTGTCTGATCTGACTTTAATATTTTTGTTTTACATAGGTCTCTAATTAATAGAAGATGGCAAAGCCTAGCCACAGCAGCTACGTCCTTCAGCAGCTAAACAACCAAAGAGAATGGGGTTTTCTCTGTGACTGTTGTATTGCAATTGATGACATTTACTTTCAAGCACACAAGGCAGTTCTAGCTGCCTGTAGCTCCTATTTTAGGATGTTTTTCATGAACCATCAGCATAGTACTGCACAACTGAATCTCAGCAACATGAAAATCAGTGCCGAGTGTTTTGATCTCATCTTGCAGTTCATGTATTTAGGAAAAATTATGACTGCTCCCTCCAGTTTTGAGCAGTTCAAAGTGGCAATGAATTACCTACAGCTATACAATGTTCCTGACTGCTTAGAAGACATACAGGATGCAGATTGTTCTAGTTCAAAATGTTCATCTTCTGCTTCCAGCAAGCAGAACAGTAAGATGATATTTGGGGTAAGAATGTATGAAGACACTGTGGCTAGAAATGGCAATGAAACCAACAGGTGGTGTGCAGAACCAAGTTCAACAGTAAATACACCGCATAATAGAGAGCCTGATGAAGAATCTCTACAACTAGGTAATTTTCCTGAACCGCTGTTTGATGTATGTAAAAAAAGTTCGGTGTCCAAATTATCTACTCCAAAAGAACGTGTGTCACGACGCTTTGGACGGAGTTTCACCTGTGACAGTTGTGGATTTGGCTTCAGCTGTGAAAAATTATTAGATGAGCATGTGCTGACCTGTACTAACAGACATTCATACCAAAACACAAGATCCTACCACCGGACAGTAGATATTAGAGATGGAAAAGACAGTAGTATCAAAGCAGAATTTGGAGAAAAGGATTCTTCTAAAGCATTTTCTGCCCAGATAGAGAAGTATAGAGGAGACCCAAGCCACACTGCTGATGATTCAGCTTCAACCACTGGAAGCAGAAAAAGTAGCACAGTGGAGTCTGAAATAGCCAGTGAAGAAAAAAGCAGAGCTGCTGAGAGGAAAAGAATCATTATCAAGATGGAGCCCGAGGACATTCCTACAGATGAACTGAAAGACTATAACATTATTAAAGTGACTGATAAAGACTGCAATGAATCCACTGACAATGACGAGTTAGAGGATGAGCCTGAAGAACAATTTTATAGATACTATGTTGAAGAAGATGTCAGCATTAAAAAGAGCGGTAGGAAAACTCTCAAACCTCGGATGTCAATAAGTGTTGATGAAAGAGGTGGTTTAGAAAATATGAGGCCTCCTAACAATAGCAGTCCAGTGCAAGAGGACACTGAGAATGCATCTTGTGAGCTGTGTGGACTCACAATAACTGAGGAGGACCTGTCATCTCATTACTTAGCCAAGCACATAGAAAATATCTGTGCGTGTGGGAAGTGTGGACAGATACTTGTCAAGGGCAGACAGCTCCAGGAACATGCCAGAGATGTGGCGAGCCTCAAGATCTGACAATGAACGGGTTAGGAAATGCTGAGGAGAAAATGGACATGGAAGAGAATCCTGATGATCAGTCAGAAATAAGAGATATGTTTGTGGAAATGTTGGATGATTTTAGAGACAGTCATTACCAGATAAGCAGTATCCAAAAAAAGCAGTTATTTAAACATTCTGCCTGTCCTTTTCGATGTCCTAATTGTGGCCAGCGTTTCGAAACTGAAAACCTAGTGGTTGAACATATGTCTAGCTGCCTAGATCAAGATATGTTTAAGAGTGCCATCATGGAAGAAAATGAAAGAGATCACAGACGAAAACATTTTTGTAATCTGTGTGGGAAAGGATTTTACCAGCGGTGTCATTTAAGAGAACACTATACTGTTCATACTAAGGAGAAACAGTTTGTTTGTCAGACATGTGGAAAGCAGTTTTTAAGAGAGCGTCAGTTACGTCTGCACAATGATATGCACAAAGGCATGGCCAGGTATGTCTGTTCCATTTGTGATCAAGGAAACTTCCGAAAACATGACCATGTACGGCATATGATTTCTCATTTATCTGCTGGCGAGACTATATGCCAGGTCTGCTTTCAGATATTTCCAAATAATGAACAGCTGGAGCAGCACATGGATGTTCATCTGTACACATGTGGAATATGTGGAGCAAAATTTAATTTGAGGAAAGATATGAGATCCCATTATAATGCCAAGCATTTGAAAAGAACCTAAGTGGTTTTCTTCTGTACTAATGTCTAGTTGATAGCAGACAAAACACCAAAGCAAAAAGCATATGAGCTATTTAGAAGTTGATTTTATAAGATGAATTGTTGGAAAAAATTTCAAGGCCCTTTTACCTTTAACATTTTTGTTCAGGACCTTAAATATCTACATTTTAGGTGTTAAATGTTTATCAGTTTTGTTGTTACTTAATAGCGTTCTGTTTCTAGTTTCTTAGCTATGATTAACCTTACTTTTAAATGTAGACTATAAATGGCTGTTTACCCCTTCAGTGGCTATTAAACTTTAGGTTTTTTTTTTTTATCAATAAGGTGACGACTTCACTATTTCTATGTGTGTGTGTTTTTTTTTTAAGGTTATCATATGAAATTTTAAACCCAACATCATTGGCCATTTTTGTTTAAACTTTAAAAAATTTTTAGAATAATTATTTAAAACTATCCTATTCACTTTTAGCTTTTTTTTTTTTTGGTCAGTTTTAGACAGTAGATTAGCTACTGTTCATTCTCTCTTATCAGTGAAATTCATATTCTTAAATTGACAAGTTTATTAGGCAAGTTAGGTGTACTGAATCTACCTTTAAGGTTGACATGGGCTCAAACTTGGGCTAAGAAGATTGTGGACCTGAGGAAATTCCTATAAAAGAACATTTCCTGTAATTGATAAAATATTATCATTAATAATCACATTTAAAACTTATATTAAGTGTAAATCCCAATGACTTTTCCCTCACTTGAGAAATGAGTGAGGATAAGTCATTTTGTTTTATGATAGCAAATTTAACTATGATAGTTAATTAAAAAGATATCTTGTATTCATTAAAAATATTTTAATTTAAAATACTCTGATTTCTAAAGTGTGTTAGTTTATCAGTTATTTTGTTTATAAATAGACTTTAATAGTTCTCTAGAAATACGACATTTAAAGGAAAATGACTTCTCACCTTTAAAATTACATACTTTTGGAACTTTGAAATTTGAGAAAGCTGCCATGTGTATTGATAAATCTAATAAAATAAAGAAATCAATTATAAATCTGGTTGTTCTATAAAAGTAGAGTGCACAATAAAATGTGTTGTGTTTTATACTATCTAAGAAGAAAATGTGTTTGACAAATTGTAGTTTATCACCATGCTTCATTATTATTTTCTGTAAAGAATATAAAATTTGAGGACTATAAAATAACCACAGCATATAAGTGGAATAGTTTATATATTCAGATAAAGTAGTATTACTGTTAGTTGTGGTTGACATAGGGTCTACATTGATTACATGTGACTTAAAACACTGGCAAAACTGACCCACCAATAAACACATCTACTGAATAGAATGCCTTTAAATGTGAATTACTTGCAATGTAATACCCCTCTCATAATGAAAGGGATTTTTAATTAATTACTATATTTACAAATACAATTTTGTGATTACAAACAGTAATTTAATAGGATTGCTCTTTTTTTAATATATTTTTAAGATCTGCAAATAGTTTTATATATAATTTGCATAAAAGAACATGTTAAGAGAACTGAGAGGCATATTGGCTAGTACAGACTTAGTTGAATGTACTGGAGCACGGTGTGAGCTCAGAGATTTGTGGGGATATATTGAAATGTTACATGAGGATAAGAATAGCACAGGAATTAATAAGTAAAAAGGCACAAAAAGGTAAAAATAAATCGGGATTTTTAGTTTTTTCCTTCGGCACTGGAGTTTGAACTCAGGGCCTCATACTTGCTACACAGGTGTTCTACCACTTAAGCCACTCTGCCGGCCTTATTTTCAAGATAGGGTCACTCGAACTATTTACCTAGGCTGTCTTTGAACCTTGATCCTCCTGATCTCAGCCTCCCAAGTAGCTGGTGTGAGCCACCAGCACCTGGCTGGGATTTTTTTTTTTTTTTTTTAAAGTCACACAGTTAACAGAAAAGGCAGGAGAAGTGATTCATGTTAGTCTTGGATACACTAGTTTATCAAGTATTTAAATCTGAAATGTTAACTTACCATGAAATATAGAATGCATGTATATAATACCACTACCGCTAGGAACCTGATAAACAAAAGTTCTCTAAACCCAGAGACTCTCAGAGAGTGGCATGAAGAGATAATATAAACCAAATTTTCAAACTATACCTTAGTGGGCATAATTTTCTTTGGGATTACTTGTTTGCACCCTCATCAAAGGCAGTGGCTTTCCCACAATTGAAGGAAAGACCTTTTCTAAATATTATTTGACATGTACTAACAGTCAACAATTACCAAATATATAAAATACATAATCTCTAATTTTACACGACTGAGATGTAGATAGTTTCACAAAGCCATACCTCATCGTGTTTTCTCCCCGTATCACGTTATACAGGACACACATTTTTGTTTTGTAATTAGCCATTGGGTACAACTTTCCCTATTAAGGCAGAGTTCATTTAAAGGCTACCTTGCTTTTAGTATTAGAGGGAATGAAAAGTATCCAACACCTCTCTCACAAGCTCTTTAACCTTTATTTTGTTCTTTTTTTGTGGGCCTGAACGTTGAACCCCAGGGTCTTGAGTATGCAAGGCAAGTGCTCTACCACTGAGCCATTGCCTCAGCCCCCAAAACCTCTTGAAGCCAGTTTCCTTTAACCTCCTTCCTCCTGGGGTGGAGCTACAGTGCTCTTAATTCCTTTGCTATTGCTTCTTGCCCTCTCGAACTATGAAGAGAGTGAATCAAGACTGTGGAAGTTGTCTGCTGCTCCCACCTTTATAATTTACACATTAGGCTCCAAATCTTTAGATTTGAAAAGGAAAACAAAACAAAATAAAAAGTAAATGTTTTTTTCATGCTGGAGATTGAGCTCAGATCCTTGACGTGGCAGGTAAGGCTCTACCACTGAGCTGTATCCCCAACCTTCCCTTTTGTTCTAAACAGCAAGAAATCCTGGAGGAATAGTCAGCTCCTAACAAAGCCGTCACCAGTTATCGTGCACCCGAATGTTTCAGTAAATAAGAATGTTTCAGTAATTAAGATTAATATCCAATTAACAACCCGATTACAACCCAGGCACCTGTGGATGAGGACTCAGAAATTTGCCTTAGTCTCTTACATTCCTTTTGTTTTTGAAACAGCCTTGGTTTCAAAAGTTTGCTGGCCGCAAACTCAATATTCCTCTGCCTCTCCAGTGCGGGGGATTAGAAGGGTGCACTGTCATGCCTGGCTTCCCATATTTTTGACCCTCTTTTTTGGGGGGAGGAAGTGGTACTGGGGTTTGAACTCAGCCTCATGCTTGCTAGGCAGTGGCCTCCCATTTTCTTAAGATAAAAATATTCAGAGAAATGAGTCACGTGGTATGAAACAACTGTTTAATTACTATAAAGTAATTGACAATTTGTGGACAAAAATGAGAAGAAAGGATTCCAGAGAGGCTAGTTATAGAAATAATAATTAAAAGTAAGGACAGTTTGCTAGGGCAGACAACACTAATTAAAAGGAAATACAACAGTTGTGAAAAACCACATTTTACTATAGTTAGAAGCAAAAATACAAAGAGGTTATAAAAATGGAATTAAAAAAATTAAACATTTGAAAATTATAGGTGAGATGAGTAGGAATTAATTTGATTCAATTAAAATAATTCAGTTATAGAATATTTATGGGACAATGGTTATGAGCATACCTGAATATTTGAGAACTCTTTCTAAAATGTGGCTAGAAAAGTTGCCAACTTTCTTATTGGTTAAATGATAATCATTCCTCAGGGCTGTCAGAATGGCTAAAGTGGTAGAGCACCTGCCTAGCAAGGGTGAGGCCCTGAGTACAAACCCAGTACCTGCAAAAGAAATCCCTCATCCTCTATACCACGAAGAAACTTCCATATTTATTAGGTTTCCCAAAGAACCAGTATAAGAGTTGTAATATTTAAATTGTGTATAAAACTTGTCATTGTTAAGAAGGTAAATCACTACCAAAAGAAAAAAAACTCAATATGTATATACACATACAGTGGAGAAATTTGGTGTTTCTAATTTAACTGGGTTTTATTGTGAATTAATATGTTTTTTAAAATTTTTGCCATTAATCTATTTTGATCAGTTTCCCAACTTTCCCTCACCCTCTTTGCAATAAATGCTTCCCAATGATAAAATGCCAGTACACTGTAGGCACTGAAATATCGGTAACTTCTAGGATTGCTGAGTACCAAACAGCTCTAGGAGAACATAATCTTGTAGAATCTCCCAATATCCTTGATACCTGAGGGTGGTCAGTAAGGTGTGAAAGGATGGGTGCCAGCAAACGATAGCAAGTAGAGCTGTACTTGGTAATAAGAATGGAAAGCTTGCATCCAGATTTGGAAACCCATAGTCCATCCATACTAGGTAGGGCTCAGTAGTCCCAGCATTCATTTATTTAGCACTCTATACTCAAGTGCTTTACATGCATAGTTAATACAGCCTTTGAGGTAAGTATACTGACTTTCCAGATGGGCAACTGAGGTGGAGAGACTATTTTTCCTAAAATCACACCGAAACTATGTATTAGGCCTGGAATTTGAACCTAGACCTTTGACTTAGCCTACATTTGTGTACTTAACCACTAAGTCACATGCTTCACCTACCAAGAAGTACAAAGAAAGGGCCTTTTCAGCATAGGAACATGATAAAGGTCCTGTGAGGCTGTACTCCTTGTTCATCTGTCACCTGCAGTGCCTGGTAAGGTGGATGGTAATTGTGGGTACCTTATGAACATTCTGAGTAATGTGAAAGAAAATATAAGAGTGGAAAATAAAACTTTTTATTTGAACAGGTCATTCAGAGTGATGTTTTAGAAATATTAAATGCTAATATGTATTTGATTTTCCCTTCACTTTAAACTTAAAACATTTTGTGATTATCATCAGTCATTTTTCAGGTTTATAGTACTCAACTAAAAATCACTTAGAATTCACCTTCCATATTTCTATGTATTTACTTTTTCTATTCCTGTCCTTTATGTATTCATCTCTCCCACCAATCTTCATTTTCTTTTGTTAGTTATGAGACTGATCAGTTGAACTCAAATTACTTGCAAGTAAATGTTCCCAAGAAAAGCAGAATCTCAGAATAACCAGTTTCCTCTTTTTGCCTTAACAGATGATATGGATAAGAAATTCATAATTTCTTTGGTCAGTAAACAAAATATCCTCACTCCCCACCCCCACCAATTATACTGTGATTGCTTTAAGATTTATAAAGAAGCCTAAGTTGGCTTCTTTATAAATACAGTGGAGAAATTTGGTGTATCTAATTTAACTGGGTTTTATTGTGAATTAAAATGTTTTTAAAAAATTTTACATTTTTATATACATTGTTATTTTAACGATGTATATAATTCAAATTAAGAAAATACCTATAGATTTTTAAGTAAATTTGTTGACAGTCTTACTCATAAAATGAAAGATAACTTCAGGAACTGACAGTTGCATAACCACCCTATAACCTAGCAGTAAAACTTCAAAAAAAATTAAAGTTAAAAATGGTTTAAATGAAACTATCCGATCTTATCTGACTTTGCATCTATTACCCGATTTCTATACAAAAGGTTCTATGCTACTCTGCTATACCTACTGCTTTAGTGATCTGTCATGTGTTATTTTTCAAGTAAGAACAAAATGGAGGCGAGTCTGTGAATAATGTCTATATAGTCAGTCACTTTTCACTGCTTCTGTCAAACTCAAAGACATATTACCTGGTAACATGGATGTAGTCTCACTAATCCAGTTGAAATTTAGCTTAGGCAAGAGGCATAAAGGTAAGGGTTTAGAATGTTTGTGTCTGTAAATGACAATTGGACATATAAATAAACCAAATGGCAATTAACAGCTTGGAAATTCATGCTAATTTTGAACCAGTTTAATACAGCTTGCCTATTTATAAGCACATACGTAGTTGAATTTAGCATTAAGTTTAAATCCTATTTATTTCTTTATATTCAGGAAAACAAAATCATTGAGGTCTGTTGCAGAATCGTTCTTTCTATCAAATCTACACAGATCAATAGGGGGAGGAAGTTATTCTAATTTCTCATTATGCTACTCAGTGTAGTGACAAAAAAAGATGAAGATTACAATCCAATGCTTGGTATGAATCAAACATCGATGTACCAATCATCATAGGAAAGTCTAGGGCCAAAGAACAACAGAAATTTTAAAGATATGGTTTCAACTGCAGAGCAAGAAATATTAATTTTCTGTGAGAAAGTGCATAGTACTCTTCTTACCTAATTGAGAAAGGAGTTGAATTAAAAATACAGCCTATAAAGCCCTCTTAAGTCTTATTTTAAAAGGTATTATGTTTTTGTTCTACTTAAGCCTATAACTTACACCAATTGAAATAGCAGAACTCAGTTTTGGGTTTTTTGTTTGTTTGTTTGTCTTGGCAGTACTGGGATTTGAATGCAGGGCTTTGGGTTTGCAGAACAAGCCTCTACCACTTGAGCCACACCTCTAGCCACAGAACTTATTTTAATGAAAGATACAATTCTAGGTCTGGGGGTATAGCTCAAGCAGTAGAGAACCTGCTTTGTAAGCTTGAGGCCCTAAGTTCAAACCCCAGTACCCCCCCAAAATTTTTTAAAAACCCACAACTCTAAGCACCCAGATTATAAAAGTAATCTTTCAATGCTTATGTTCCCTGATGTAAGAAAAACACTTTTTTTTATTTTTTTTGCTGCAAAAAATATAATTCCACCCAGAATCACTGGGGCAGATGAGGAGAGTTTGAAGAAAGAATTTAAAGGAAAATTCATTTCTCTCCTCCTTTCCTCCCCTGCTCCCTCCAGTGTATGTGTGTACTTGACTTTCATTTCAGAATATACAATACTTGCTATTTGAAGAGGGCAGTGTTAGTGTGATGGGTGAAAACTAAAAGGGACATGAACTTTTAAGTTTATTACATCTGTGTTTCAGTCAGGAATTTGCCATTAACAATACATTATAAAACACAACTTCTTCCTCCCTACTCTCTACTTGTCTGACCTCATTTTTTTATGTTACATATTTATGTGCCCAATCATTCTAGCTTAGACCATGCAAAAACAAAAAAGGTACCCCATGTCTGAAGAATGATATTAGTAACAAGAATACTTTATATTTAAAAGTGCAATGAGTTACATTTGAGAAGTAATTAAGTAAATTTAAATTCTAGGAGCTGTTCTATTCTTTTGTTCCTATTCTTTGTTCTTCTAACAGTGTGCTGGCCTGGTGCCAAAAGCTAAGAAATTCTAACCTAAGAATGATGATGTATCTTGTAGAGCAGTCAACTTGTAATATTATTTTTCTTGAGTTTTGTCTTTTTCTGTGTGGCAGTGGTGAAATAGGGCCTTCTAAACCTCTGGAGAAGTGACAGATCTGAATTTGGAGAGGACATGGGGAAGAATCAATCTTCAACAGATAATCTTTAAGTGCAGACCCAGGACTATCAGATCTGAAGTGGCACCATCTTTTCTGTCTTCCTGACAAACTTCATCAACCCTAAAAGTTCCAGTTGCAAAGATCCAAGAAAATTCAATAAAAATCACTTTGGTGTAACAAAACTGATTCACAGTGACTCTCATAGTATTTGTGGACAATCTGCTAAAATCAAGTAACTGTAAAATTCATATGACATCAGTGGTTAAAGCTACTCTAAAATTAAACTTTATATGCTAATTATCTTCAAGGTCCCTTTTAAAATAAAGGGCTTGCCAGGCTACTGTAAATATAAAGAGAGATAATCACATACCTCTATAAATGCATATATAATTCTAAACTTAAAATAACCAGAATTATAGCTTACGTATTATGAAGTGTAGTTAGACAATTTAAAAAGCTATGACCTGAAATCTTTAGTTGAGAGTATAAATAAAAAGTTGGTACAGAAAAACTTTAAGGTGAATGTTGTATCAAGATAATCTAGTTATTGCTGTAATATACCACTTGCCCTCCTTTTTCACTAACTATGCTGTTACATAGTTGATTGTTAATAATAATGAAGCCTCATTTAAAGTCTGTTAACTTGAAAAATGGGTAGCATTATTTTGACAGTGGTAGATTTTCACAAATCACAGACGTTATTTTTCAGCTTAGCAATATAACCTAATAAGGCAGAATTAACATTTGTTCTTCATAGTAATGCATAATGCCATGCCTCTCAGCTTCAAATATCAAGATAAAATTCAGCTAAGTGCTGCATGAAACGATTAACATGTTTTTAAAAACCTGTCATGGAGAAATAAAATATTTGTTTAAATGGGCTACAAATGCTTTGCTACACACACACACACACACACATTTCTTAACCATATGAATCTTAAGGCCATGTTTCCTTATTGTGAATATACTCATAGTTTTACTTTTGGTTACCTGTATCCAATTCCTTATGATTATTTTGGGGGTTTTGTGCAATGTCAAAATATTACATTTTTAGAAATGTTTATTTTTATGCCTGTTTCTTCAAATGTTTTAGTAAAGAGTTACACAAAGAGATCTATAGTTAATAGTATACAGGGAAGTTGAGTCACAAATCCTAACTGTGAGGTAGGGTGATAACTTAAACATTCATTCTAATAACTAAACTAGCTAAAAATCAGACCAAGTGCATTACAATGGGGGTAGTAGGTACAGGGGGGAAAGGAAGAAAAATTTACCAAAAAGTTCAAATACATATGAAACTGCTTTAAGAGAATTAAGTCTAATACTGGTGGGGTGGCTCAAGTGGTAAAGCGCATGCCTAGCAAGTGTGAGGCCCTGAGTTCAAACCCCAGCACTGAGAAAAAAAAATTAAGTCATTAAGTTTAAAGAGGTGTAAGAGTCTAAAAACACCAGAGATAATCGATTTGGAGAATATAAAAGGACATAGAACTGTAGGCTTCTAAAAATAAATAGGAAACAGAAAAGATAAAAGAATACTACCAATAAAGGTGCCAGATCAATAATAGAAATAACCCAATAAATAATTTTTGATTCAATTTTTATCAAATTAGATTGACTAAAGAAAAATCACTTAAATTTTGACTGTACTACAAGTGTAATGAATTACATTAACTATAAATGGTATAAATGCATTCTATAATGTGATTTTCTGTACATTAGTATAAAATGGAATTTTGGATTACATAAAGTACTTTTGTTACATTTTTAAACCCATTGCTTTTACCTAATAAAATTTCCTCTTCTACATTCAAAAGTTAACCTGTCTGTATATTACTTTTACTTATACTGGTTTTTTTTTTTTTTTACTTTTTTGAGATAGGGTCTTTTAACGTAGCCCAGGTTGGCCTTGAACTTGAGATCCTCCTGGGTGTGGGGATTATGGGCATGAGTGTCCACACCTGACTTTCAACCTGAATCTCTAATGCTACAGTAATAGAATAAATGATTTAGCTCATTATGGTGTTCCTTTATAGCTTAAGAAGTGCACAAATAGAATTAACTTAAAATTCTTGTTGTCAAATCCTGATTTCTTTCCAGAAATCAGAAGAATGATTGGAAAAATACAATCTTATGTCAAACACAGATGATAATAAATTGAGTTTCTTCATAACACAACAAGAAATGTTTATAAAAACCCACTGATTCAGTACTGAGCTCTTTCAGAGGGTTAATTTCTTTCTCAAAATTATAATCATAATTTACTGTTTAGAGAAATAACGTCTTTGCCTGTGTAATTCGTTTGGTTTTTTTTTTTCAAGTAAAGAAAGTGTTAACTAAGTAATGGCCTATTGAGTCTATTTCTCCAGGGACAGGGCAGACTCACTTTTGCCAGACTGTTTCAGACCACCCCTTAAGGTCAGCACTCAAACCTAAAGAGTGCACTGTTTGTCTGCTAATGTCAGAGTCACCTGTCTTTTGGAAAAGGTTCTTCCAGGAGCAAAGTCTTAGCCTCTTCCAGGTATGGTAGTTTCCTACCCCAGCTTCCTGTGTATCTGTCATTGAACTGTAATTTAAAGACTGAGACTTTTATGGCTCAAAGAAACAATGGCGAATTTTTCCTATAGTGATGGGTTAGATTTTTTTTTTTTAACTGTACTGAGGTCCAGGGTCTTGCATTGCAGGCAAGTACTCTACCACTTGAGTCACACTCCTAACCCAAGAATTATTTTAAGACTCCGCACTTTCAAAGAATTATAAAATGGCAGTATTTATAGAGATCTTAAATATAATCATTAGTTGAACTCCAGTTTGCTCAAAGCTCCTCAAATTACAGACTGTTGCTATTCTCCTCTTCAGGTCAATATTACCTCTTCAAAACAATCCACAGCTCTTATGAAGGTTGTGCTTGGATGGGGGTTGAGAGGACTCCAGACAAATACAATGTTTTCTTTCCAATTAATCCTGTGAAAATGTATTCTTGTTCAGTTAGTCTCTTGGGGGTAGGTCTAATATTCATGCACATAGCTTTAGGGCTATTTTATTCATCTTTGTAACTCTAATACAAATATTTTCAGATGTGAGTCTGTTTCAACTTTTGGTGTTTACAACGCCATTTAGTACAGAAATATAGAGGGTAGACAATGGATCTTCCTCTTTCACAGGAGAAAAATGAAGTTACTACTTGCAGGTTTTAGTTAAATCTTGTGCCTCACGTAACTCTTAAACACTGAGAGGGCTGGGGATATAGCTCAGAGGTAGAGTACAAACTTTGCATGCATGAGACCCTGGGTTCAATCCCCAGCACTTAAAAACAAAACAAAAAACCAGCAAAACAAAATACTTAGCTAATGAATTACTATGTTTCCAATACTTTTTTTTTTTTTTTTTTGGTGAGACTAGGGTTTGAACTTAGGGCTTTATGCTTGCAAAGCAGGCACTCTACTGCTTGAGCTATGTCTTCCGTCCATTTTGCTCTGATTATTTTGAAGATTGGGACTCTTGAATTATTTGCTGGGGTTGGCCTCAAACCTCCATTCTCTTGATCTCAGCCTCCCATGGATTATGGGCGTGAGCCACCAGCGCCTGATTCCATGTAGATTTTGATGCGTTCTACATACAAGATTACATAAAGGATAAGATACAAAGGCACAATTTATCTTTTCACTTTTTTTTTTTTGTAGTACTGGGGCTTAAACTCAGGTCCGTCACCTGGAGCCACTCCACCAGCCTTATTTTTGTGAAGGGTTTTTCACAAGGCAGGATCTCATGGAACTATTTGCCCTGGCTGGCTTTGAACTGCAATCCTCCTGATCCCTGCCTCCTGAATAGCTAGGATTACAGGTGTGAGCCATGGGTGCCCAGCTTTTTCACTTCATTATATATGCATAGTTCATATACATGTGCTATAATTTATGTAATCACTCTCAGTGTTGGATACTTAAGCCATTTCCATTTTATTGTTGCCTCGCACACCAACTTGTCCTAGAAACCTAACTGAGGTGACGGGAGATGCAGAAAAGACAACAGACAGAAGACCAAACATGCATAAAGCTGGGGCCAGGTAGGCTGTGTGCTCGGATGGAGACACACCAGCCCTCTCCACCTCCAGTGAGTTTATTATGTACAGTAGCAACACAAGGCAGAGAGGCAGTTCTCGGAGGAGGGGACGTGACATTGTAATTCTCAGGAACAGGAGGAACCTGTGACAGCTTCTCTCTAAATGTAAACATTAAAGGAAAAACAGCTGTACTGCATCTTGCCCACTTCTGCAGCTGAGGCTGTGCCAATCCAAGCGTGCAATTTACTGGGCATAACTCTACTTGCTCCCTTCTGTGGTTTGGGGCTGTGCCAAACTCAAACATGCAGCTTATTCAATGCACCTCTCAGCTCCCCACAGCTAACATAATACTGCCAGCATTTCCTATTATTTTGTAGGGTAAAGCCCACAAAGAATGAAGGGTATTACCATGTTTAAGGCAAAGAAAAAATATTGTCACATAGCCCTCCAGAAGGACTATACTACTTGACACTCTCACTGGTACGGTTTACCTATTTTGCTGTGCCATTGACAATATGGATGAATTTGACCATAAAGTTGCTGACTTGACCATTTATAATGGACTATGTTATTAATGAACTCCAAGAGACAATTCTTTAAAAACATTTTTAAAAATACAAATAAGGAAAATTAAAAATCAGCATGTACTAATGTTCTATGACCAAAGAAGTTTCATACGAATCAAAATGCAGATGCTGTGATCTTTTGGGGAAAAGCTCAGGATGCCAAGTAAAATATGAAACATCAGTTTACCAGGTGAAAAAGGGAACTATATATATACATATATATATTACATATATATACATTACACATACATATGTAATGAAAATGCAGGTATAATTGCTACTGTGGTTTCAGAAAGCTGTGTTAAAGATGAATGTGGTGGTTAAAATTACAAGATTTGTCTGTAACAACTGTGAGCAGAGGTAGGACACAGTTCCTATACAAAAGAACTTCTCCTTTCGAAGCTCTAAGTTAAGTGTTTGTGTGGGAGAGCTTTTGGCTTGCTTGCTCTTTTTGCAGTCTTGCTTTAAAGTGTGTGAGGACTGACTAAATACAAGACACCTGAAGAGTTTGTACTTCTCCCAGTTCTTTCTACTGTAGGTGGACCCTATTGCTAAATCACATCATCTCATCAGCTCTACAAAAATTAATTAGTAATGCTTTCCAGTCCACTAACTTTTTTTTTTTTTTTTTTTTTTTTTTTTTTTTTTTTTTGAGATAGCATTCACTGTGTGGCCCAGGCTGACATTTAACCCTGGCTCCTTCTGCCTCTGCTCCAGAACGCTAGGATTACAAGCATGGACAGCATGCCTGGCTAAATCTCTCTTTTGTTAAAGAAAAACATAACTTCATAAAGACAAGACTTTCCAAGAATAGAATCAAGGGATCTACACTCAAAATTTCACAGCTTAAATTAGAAATATTTTGGTTTTGTCCTTGTTTTCCTAATATTTCCTTAAACGTTTTTCCCATTTCAATTTTTTCCCTTTAATTCTTTCATGGAAAAAATGACAGGAATTGTGGTTAATGCCTATACTATTTAACCAATGAGATTAACAAATCAATAGCAAATATGTTTTCTAAAACTGGAAATTACATTCAGGACTAGAGAGAAGAATCTTAAAAGATTTATTAATTTTATAGAATCCTGCCGACATTACCTTAAGACACAAAACTTTAGTGTTTCTTACACAAAAATCCTTTCCCAGCCAGGGCTGTCTCACACAACTACTGTAGGCCAACACACACACTACTAGCTTACTTCAAAGGATGACTCTCCTTCCTGTCGCCTGAAAAAAGAAAGGACTTAGCACAAAGGACTTCTAAGTGTATTCTGTCCACCTGTCGAAAATTTGCACCCCTCGCTTCCTAGCTCATTTTCAACTCTGTCCTCTTTGCCACACTACAACCCTCTGCTTTCCCCACCATCTGCTGGCGAGCTTCAGCGCCTGGCTTAGTCCTGTCACCTCCTGCAAGAAGCCCTCCCAGTCCGTGTTCTCATAGGACTTCCCCTAGCAGTCTCTAAACTCATCAGACTATCAACCTTTTTCCTCTCCTCGCAGGTATCTGCTAAAGCTGAGGGGTGACTGTCCTCAGCTCCCCTAATGCGAAGTGACTTTTGTCTCTACGGCAGGTTGCCGTCTTCCTCCAGGAGCCCATTTCTGGGAGACAGCTTCTACTCCATCACCTGCCACGGGATTTGGGTTTTGATTAATTTGACAATTTTCCCTGGAAGAATTCAAAAGCTGCAGATAAAGCACTTGAACCTGAACCTAAGGGAAGCCATGGAGAGAATACGGGGAGGGGACCAAGAAGTCGAGAGCGGGTAAAAAGTTTTCATGGCAGGCCCCGGGAGGACTCCGGCCCGCAGGCGACCTCGCGCAGCGAGGACAACGGCTGGCCTCTCCGGGACTGGCCCTCCCGGCCGCCACGCAGCTGTTCCGGAGCGTCACACCCACGGAAACGCTTCGAAACTCGCGATGTAACATTCCAGCAGGCCGACCGCCCACGCGCCCAACTTCGCTTTCAGTTTTTGTCCCCGCCCAGGGGAGACGCCCCCATACGCCCTAGCCAGCCTGGCCCAGGCCAAGTCCCCGCTTCAAGTGTCATTTCTGGCCGTCTTTATTCAGTGTAACCAACCTAGAAGGAATTCCTCCTCTTTTAAGAGCTAGGTTAATGCGGACGCCAGCAATGAATCGCACTTAACCCTAAGCAATTGAATTAACCACCTAGCTAGCTACCCAACTCAGCAACCTTCCGCGCCTCCTCCGCGCGCCACGCCCCAGCCTTTCCCCACCTCGCTTAGACGTCTGTGTTGCTCATTGGTCATCTGCGCTGCCAATCCGATGGACGTCGACGAATCCCGTTTTAGGAAGGGCAAAAATCGCCAAACAGAGCATACACCTGGCGGCGGGTACGCGAGCCTAACGCCCCCAAGCGGCTGGACGCGCAAGGAGTCACCTCATTTGCATAACGGCTGCCTCTCTGTTTCTAAGCTCGGGCTGGGGCTCCGCCCCTCACCCAACTAGATATCTGTTGGACCGCTGGCCGATCACTCCGACTCAGGCAAGCCTGTGGCGGGGCTGGTAGAGTTTGTACGGGCGGTCCTGGGAGCGGATTGGTTCAGGGAGTTTTCAGAAGGCGGTAGGGAGGCGGCTATAAATGAGGGGAACGGAGCCGGGGAGTGTAGAGACGCCGGTCGCGCTCACGGGGAGTTGTGCGAGACGACCGTTAGTTGACGCCACGAGTTGCCTTTCCCTGGTTTTCTAGGCTTAACGTCGTTTGCCTGTCTTTCAGCTAGGATGTCTGCCCGCGGCCCAGCTATCGGCATCGACCTGGGCACCACCTACTCGTGTGTGGGGGTCTTCCAACATGGCAAGGTGGAGATCATTGCCAATGACCAGGGCAACCGCACCACCCCCAGTTACGTGGCCTTCACCGACACCGAGCGTCTCATCGGCGACGCCGCCAAGAACCAGGTGGCCATGAATCCCACCAACACCATCTTCGATGCCAAGAGGCTGATCGGACGGAAGTTCGAGGACGCCACGGTACAGTCGGACATGAAGCACTGGCCGTTCAGGGTGGTGAGCGAGGGAGGGAAGCCCAAAGTGCAGGTGGAGTACAAGGGCGAGATGAAGACCTTCTTCCCGGAGGAGATCTCCTCCATGGTCCTCACTAAGATGAAGGAGATCGCCGAAGCCTACCTGGGGGGCAAGGTGCAGAGCGCGGTCATCACGGTCCCAGCCTATTTCAACGACTCGCAGCGACAGGCCACCAAGGACGCGGGCACCATCACCGGCCTCAACGTGCTGCGCATCATCAACGAGCCCACGGCAGCGGCCATCGCCTACGGCCTGGACAAGAAAGGTTGCGCGGGCGGCGAGAAGAACGTGCTCATCTTTGACCTGGGCGGCGGCACCTTCGACGTGTCCATCCTTACTATCGAGGACGGCATCTTCGAGGTCAAGTCCACAGCCGGCGATACCCACCTGGGTGGCGAAGACTTCGACAACCGCATGGTCAGCCACCTGGCCGAGGAATTCAAGCGCAAGCACAAGAAGGACATTGGGCCCAACAAGCGCGCGGTGCGGCGGCTGCGCACCGCCTGCGAGCGCGCCAAGCGCACCCTGAGCTCATCCACGCAGGCCAGCATTGAGATCGACTCGCTCTACGAGGGCGTGGACTTCTACACGTCCATCACCCGCGCCCGCTTCGAGGAGCTCAACGCCGACCTCTTCCGCGGGACCCTGGAGCCGGTGGAGAAGGCCCTGCGCGACGCCAAGCTGGACAAGGGCCAGATCCAGGAAATCGTGCTGGTGGGCGGCTCCACCCGCATCCCCAAGATCCAGAAGCTGCTGCAGGACTTCTTCAACGGCAAGGAGCTGAACAAGAGCATCAACCCCGACGAGGCGGTGGCCTATGGTGCGGCGGTGCAGGCGGCCATCCTCATCGGGGACAAGTCCGAGAATGTGCAGGACCTGCTGCTGCTCGACGTAACTCCGCTGTCGCTGGGCATCGAAACGGCCGGCGGTGTCATGACCCCACTCATCAAGAGGAACACCACGATCCCCACCAAGCAGACGCAGACCTTTACCACCTACTCGGACAACCAGAGCAGCGTGCTGGTGCAGGTGTACGAGGGCGAACGGGCCATGACCAAGGACAATAACCTGCTGGGCAAGTTCGACCTGACCGGGATTCCTCCTGCACCCCGCGGAGTCCCTCAAATCGAGGTCACCTTCGACATCGATGCCAACGGCATCCTCAACGTGACCGCCGCTGACAAGAGCACCGGTAAAGAAAACAAAATTACCATCACCAACGACAAGGGTCGTCTGAGCAAGGACGACATTGACCGGATGGTGCAGGAGGCGGAGAGATACAAGTCTGAAGACGAAGCTAATCGCGACCGGGTCGCAGCCAAAAACGCGGTGGAGTCCTATACTTACAACATCAAGCAGACCGTAGAGGACGAGAAACTAAGGGGCAAGATTAGCGAGCAGGACAAAAACAAGATCCTCGACAAGTGTCAGGAGGTGATCAACTGGCTCGACCGAAACCAGATGGCAGAGAAAGACGAGTACGAACACAAGCAGAAAGAGCTCGAAAGAGTGTGCAACCCCATCATCAGCAAACTTTACCAAGGCGGTCCTGGCGGCGGCGGTTCCGGAGCCTCCGGGGGACCCACCATCGAGGAAGTGGACTAAGCCTGCACTGAGTCAGCGTAAAGCTCTTCTCCTTTCTCTTTTTTTCCCCTTTTGTTTTGGTTTCTTCTTTGAACTGTCCTCGTGCCAAGTTTGAGATCTATTGTGAGAAGTCTTTAGCCTGATGTATGCCTATGAAAGGAAAGGTGCAACATATTAGTTCTTAAAGTTTTGTAATTATAAAAGGTTAGTTCTAAAATTTGATTTAAAACATATTTGAGATTTCTCTTTAATACATTTTGAGTGCTGATTTGAGCATTTTTTGATTAGCTTAGTTTGTGCATGGAGATTTGTTTGAGATGGGAAACTTGCCATTTGCACGCCTGTCCTAAGGAAACTTGGTTACAAGATATGTACAAGCTTAAATTGTTTATTTTTATGTACTACTTTAAGACTAAACTTACAGTAATCTTAAGGACAGGTATATTTCTGCAAATATGCATAAATGCAAACTTTAAAGTAAAGTTGAACTTGATCTCAAAATTACTGTCTTGGAGTTTTCAATTTTCCCTCCTTCCCGTGTTTTACTCAGGTTGGTCTTTAAAATAGTAGTATGACGTGAAATCTATCTAATCCAATCTTCTCTAATTCTTAGATGAATATCCTGCATTGAATTACTTACCAACAACTTAAGAGGAAAAGAATCTGGGTAAACTTTTCTTTCCCTTTTTTTAATACAGAAACCTGACTTGTGTCTTCTTCTAGTGCACCCAAACTCCCAAGACTTGACTTTACTGTTCAAATGAAAATCCACCTGAGTATTCCAGGAAAATGGAAGCTGTATTCTGAGGTTCTGCATGAAATGGTTTATCTCTACAGTAACAAAAATGGGGACTGGAGTTGTCTTTTCATAATATAGCCAAAGATACTGTGGAAACAAGTGGTTTTTTTGTTTTTGTTTTGTGTGTGTGTGTGTGTGTGTGTGTGTGTGTGTGTGACATACAGGTGCTTAAAACAAGAGCCAGCAAGCAAGCTTTAAAGCAATATTAAGAGTCCAAATCTAGTTAAACTTGTTTTAACTTTATTTTTCTAATAAAACAAATCAGCTGTTCTGAGCTTCTGGCAAATTCTATAAGAACATGTTTACAGCAGTTGTAATTACTTGGGAGGTAGGGGAAGATGATATATATGTTTTGTTTTGTTTCCTGACTTTTTTGCTATTCTAATTGAAGCAAGGACCTGACACATGCTAGGTGAGCACTCTACCACTTTGGGTCACACATCAGCCCCCTCCCCCCTTTTTTTTTCCCTCAATGCCTGCCTCAAATCACAATAAATTTGTGTTTTAAAGGGTAAACTACAAGATAGTACTGTATCTTGTTAACATATAACTTTTGGCATTTTCCTATGTATTTGATTTGCGTTTGTTACAGACAGGAATATTTCAAACCTTTGAGATTTATTATCCCAGGCTTAAGCTTTAAAATTCACATCCTTGGGAGAAAGAGGTTGGTTTTTATTTTTTAGTGGAATGACAGTTCTACTTTGTTCTGACTTATTCTCTTTAAGGTAAACTTGGGAGAAATTTAGTAAAGCTGACTTAAAAATGTATAGTTTTAACAGCACCTGTATGGGGTTTGAAGTCAGTGCTTTGCACTTGCTAGCACTTGAGGCACGCCTTCAGCTCTAGATATTTCGACAATTTCTTTCCAAGTGCTATTTGTCTCATGTTGTTTCTGAATTAATAGTGAATTATAGAAACTATATTTTCAGTTTGGTTTAGTAGTGGATCGCTCTATGTCATGTAGAGAGATTAATTTTTGGAGAATAGTATGAGTAAAATTTTAACCTAGAGAACAAGTTAGCCTAAGGATATTGGGCTTTTTGATAATGAGCCTTTCATACAATAGTTGACCTTTGTGTACAAATACATATATATTTCCTATGACAAGTCTCACTTGGGTGGGGGAGAGGAAGATACATAGGCAATTGTGAAATTGCTTCTAAATATTTTATAAAATTTCAAGAGAGATTACTCTTGACTCTGGAAAGCTGAAGATAACTCAGGTTTATCTGTGCTTGTGTTACACAGGTAGGAAGTTTTCAGCACAGGGAATTGGAGGGTGTTTCATTGACTACATGTAGCATTACATAAATGCTTGACGAGGTACTTTGGTATTCACAAAATCAAGTGAAGGATAGAGTGACTTTTAACAAGATAAGTAGTATTATATATAATATATATTATCCTTTTTCCTAGCCTTTTATTTGTTAAAAGTGTTTATCCTTGCTTCAACTTCAAAAAATACTGGAGTCTTCTAAATGAAATTTGGTATTTGTATGACTCATTTTAGATCTCACTTTAGAAGAGATTTCTTTCTAAAATCTCAATGACTTGTCTTTGATTCTATGACCTGATCTCCTGTAACTTACTATTACACTTACCTCAATGCATAACATACTTCATTTTCTGTTACTTTGAAAAGTAATTTGTAAAACTAGCCTTCTTGAGGTTTTTTTTTCTTTTTAAATTCTATCTTCTCAAATTTACCTAGATTTAAATATTACTAAGATAAAGCCACCAAAGTAGCCATTCATTGTTTCCAGGAGTCAGTTGAAACTGGTAACCCAAGAACTTCTGGGAACTCTTTAGCAGATAGACCAGCCATAGTCAAATGACAGTGGAAAAAGTACTTGATGTTAGGATGGGGGCTAAATTACAGTTCAAGGAATAATTAGCATCTCTTGAACTCACTATAGCATAGTGAGTTATACTATAGGGACCAGTGGTCATGACCAAAGCAAATGTAATAGGTAGATAGATAGATAGAATGCTAAGGAATTGAAAAGGTACATTTCTTTTGAACAGGCACTATATTAGACTTTTGAATGTCCATAGACACCTGTTACTCTTCATAGTAATTGAGATATGTGAAATTTCAAAACAATCTTACTTAAATTTTTATAGTATTAATTTGATACGTGCAATGGAAAGGCATTAAAAAGTGTAAATATTAATGCCACTTACAACTTTAAGCACATGTAATAAGAGATGTAATATATCACCCATTCATTGTGTCAAAGATTTAATGGGAATTTATTTATCAGCCTTATGTATAATCTTAAACAGAAATACAACCTGACTATCTAGATAAAATCAAAAGATCTTTTCTTACAAAGCTAAGTGGACCCATAAAACATTTCTACTTTAAATTGAATGTAGTTTATAAAAGTTGTATTGTGAGGCATGGTCCCCTTGCTTTTGAACACTGGGATTGAAGCCTTTAAAAAATCTTAACAACCATATGTCACAAGACAGTTGCTAATATATATATATATATATATATATATATATATATATATACACACATATTTGGGTCAAGAAGCAGTACATTCAAATGCATATGTTTAGTGTATAACAGACACAAGTAAGCTTGTTTTGAATTCTAGAACTAGAAATTAGATACAGAATTTCATCCTTTAAAATTATGAATCTTCAGAAACCAGTTTTATTCTTGGAATAAAACTCTTAGAATGGAAATATTTTAGAGCATATACATTTCTGAAATTTAGTAGGGTGATACTTAATGTTGAAATGTCTTTCCCTCAGAACAATCAAGAAGTCATAGGCCCACTACTTCTTTTAATGTTGATTAGGTTGTTTGTGAGTTGAAGGTTAGGAAAACTAGCAACCAAAAATGATGTCATTTAGCCAACATTTGCCATTGCTGGGTTTTTTGTTTGTGTGTTTTTGAGACAAATCTAACTTGCTATGTAGCCCATGCTGGCCTCAAACTTGTCATCCTTCTGCCCTAGCCTCACAGTCCTGGTGCTAGAGGCATGTTCCATCACACCTCCTCAAGCATTGCTGTTTTCTTTCATGGGAAATTAATTTCTTAGGTAAAATTAAAACATTATGAAAATGTATCCTTATGACTTTTTCACAGTATAAGCATGCATTATATTCAGTTAGTATAGTGGGCCTAAAGTCTGAGACCAGCTCCTAGTTATGTGACCTTGAGAACTTTCTCTTGATGAGACAAAACCTTTTCCCTCACAGGACATTTAGGATTATTAGATATTTAGAAGGTACCTTTACAGTCCTACTTCAGTTCACTGGGAATTTTTTTTCCTTTAAAGAAAAAAAACCTGGAAAAATTATATTTACACTTTATATTGTCATTTAAAAAACAACAAACCTAGGACTGCAAGTGTGGCTCAAGTGGTAGAAGACCTGTTTTGCAAGCATGAAGTCCTGAGTTCAAACCCCAGTCACACCAAAAAAAAAAAAAAAAAAAAAGAACAACCTAATTGGTGAAAAATATGCAATGAAATGAGTGGGTTACTTTTTAGGAAAAGTAATGATTTAGAACTATAACAATCTTCCCTCTTGTTAGGGTAAGATGATAAGTACAAGATAGTCCCTTCAGAATTACTGTTTTCCTTTAAATTTTGTGTCCCTCTAACACATGTGAAATAACTTCTCATGTAACTTATTTTTCTTTTGAGCAGCCCAGGCAGGTGCAAGATTCATGATCCTCCTGCCTCAGTCTCCTGAGTGCTGGGATTCAAGTGTGTGCCACCAAGTCTGGCTGCTTGTGTTACTTTTATGCAGATAATGCTTTGAGTTCTTGAGCCACTCCACCAGCCCTTTTTTGTGATGGGTTGTTTTGAGATAGGGTCTGAGAACTGTTTGAGTAGGCTGCGTTGAGTTCTTCATAACTCTTATTTTTTACCTTAGTTTCTATAGTAGACTAAGGTTAGACTATGGTGCAGTATATAAGATCTTTGGTTTTCTATTAGCACTTCATGCATTTTGGCTGTAAATTGAAGAGGTTTTCTGACCATAGTCTTTTGGATGATTGTGAAATGACTAAATTCCTTGGTCTTTCTCAGTCTCTTCTGGAACCACGCCTTATTTTCTCCCTGTTCTCTTCACCCCAAATTACATATACTGCTTGTGAAAAGTTTATGGCATCTGGGATATTCTCACTCCTTTTCAAATCTTGTCTGCAGCCTCAGACTAGCACCGCCAGCCTATAGGTGGGCTTGCATATACTTGAGCCAACCTCACAGCTACAGAACAGAACAGGAATCTAGAGATGACGATTTCATACCGCTGTAACCAGTGATTGTTACAAAGTAGTGAGACTGGGAGGGTAGGGGGAAAACTGGGATGTCTTTGGCATCATTTTTAAGTTTGTGAGAATGTACTCACTATTTAGTGACCATTTCATATGAATTAAACTGTGAGGATACAAAAGCAAAGCAGACTACCTTAGGCATTCCCAATCGTGTTGCATCCTCTAGTTTGGAGGGGAAAAAACCCAGGATCCGCATACCAAGTCAATTGCAAAAGGAAAGTACAAGATACATGATTTGAAAAGTGTGAATGTAAGATCAATTGAATACCCATTAACACGAAGTAATTTTTTGTTTTGGGCCACAGTAACTTTGAGCTGGCACTTTACATACATTACACCGTCAACATCTTCATAAGCTCTGATTCGGGTAGTTTCCACAGTGAGGTTGGCAATGGAAGTGCTTAGGAAAGTTAATTTCTGTGCCCAAGCTGTCTTCCACTGGACTACTTCCTCGCCCCAACCAACCCCCACACAAAACAAGCCAGGACCAACCGGATTTGCACTTAATGGAAGTGCTGTGGAAGTTTGAAGAGGCACACTGTCCCTGCAGGACTCCGTCTGGTTTTTGCAATTAAAGTCAATCCGCAGAGCGGTGGGATGCGCCGGGAGCCGAGGTCGGGATGCGGGGCGGCGCCGGCGGCCCCCCCACCCCCACCCCGCACTCCGCCCTCCCCGGCGGGATCCGGGCGACGTGGCGGCGAGTGCACGAGCGCCACCCGGGCGGCGGCGGTTGGCGGGCGGCCCCGGCTGCACCTAGGAGCGGCCGATCGTCCCACGTCCCCAGTCCCCATCCCGAGCCCGGGGCTCTGGAACGACCGGCGCGGTGCCCAGAAAAAGCTGCGCACTCAGCACACCGCCCGAGCTGAGGCCGGCGGCGCAGACCCCCGCGTCCCACCGCGCTTCCCTGGGTGGCGAATTGCTGAATGGCCTACCGCGGGGCGCGGGGCCCGGCCCCGGGCGCCATCCCCGTCCCCGGAGAGGACCGGCTGGTGGGTGTGCGCGACGAGCGGGGCGGGCGGGCCAGGCCGTCCCGGAGGGCAGTTTGTTTTTCCCGAGTGACAAGGACGCGCCCCGAGCTGTGCGTCTGGAAGTCCTTTCTCCCTACCCTCCTGCCTCCCTTCTTCCCTCCTTCCCTATTCCCTACCCTACTGAAAACAAAAAGGATAAAATCCTGGCTTAAAAAAAAAAGTTAAGATTTTACATGTTTATTAAATAGAGGTAAAGAGCGACGAGTAGGAATTATTAAAGTTTATTGTGACATGTGGATTGTAAATTGAATGGGTTATTTTCGCTGCAATCATTTCATTTTACAGCAATCGGGATTACGATTTGGGATGTGGTACTGGAAAGATGACACTAGAACTCTCGAATTCAAAAGGTAAAGTTTTAACTAAAACTTTATTAAGTTTTCATGAACATTACGTATGCTTGGGGTTAAAAAATATATATACAGTTCAAGCAGTTCAGAAGAGTAGAAAGAATAAAATAAAATTCTGGTGAAATCCTACCATGGGAGGATAATCATTTTGAAGAGCCTTGGAGACATCTGTTGGCACCTATCCCCTGCTTCTTGTGTACTTCCTGATCACTTTAAACAGCCCTTTGAAACAGCGGGGGTCAACCCAGTTTACAGATGAAGAAACTGAGGTTTCAAAGGGCTAAGCGATTTGAGGAAAATTTGGTGATTTGTTCCATTCACACAGGTCAGAGGTGACCAAGATGATTTAAATGCAGGTCTCTTCAAAGTCCATGTTCTTAACTGCTGTGTAAAATTGCCTTTTGAGTTATAGAAATATGGTTTTAGATTAACGGGACCATATTACACCTCCTGGAATAGATGGTGAATTTTCTATAACGTTAAAATTTCTGGATTAGAAAAATACTGTGTTACTTTCCATTGAGAAAATGCTGATTCTAAAAGTGTATAGCTAAACCAGTAACACTAGCCACCTATTACCTGCCAGGCACTTATTTTTTCTGATTGCTACAACAGCTATAAAAGTGATGGGTAACGTTCCCATTGTATAGGTGAAGAAGCAAGGCAGTAAACAGCAGAAATGTCTGATTAGCCAAGATTAGTCTGATGCTGAAACCTTTTCTACTGTATGTGCCATCTCCCTCAACTAGGCCACAACCCCTCAATGGTGGGAAATGTCTTACCTGTCATCATGTCCCTCCAGTCATCTATAGAACTTCACAAAGTAGGTGTCCAGCACGTGTTTATTGAGCATGTTCAGTTAACTGGATTCAAGTGGAGTAATACTAGAGGCAGAGGACCAATTGAAAGGCCTGAGGCAGGAGTTGTGCAAGTAAGAAACAAAGTCAGAATGAACTCCATGCTTAGGAAAACAGAAGGGCAAAGGATTAAGAAACACTGAGCAGGATGTTTGGATAAAATTGACAAGATGTATTGCCTGACTGTGAAGGGAGAAAGAGAAGCAGGTGTCTAGATTGACTCACAGGTGTCTGGTGATTGGGTGGCTAAAATTGCCATTCACCCACATACAGAATAAAAGAGACAAAACCAGCAGTGTGTTTGAGGTTGCTATGGTGTGTTCACATGGATACAGCTCTTAGGCTGCTGGACAAATGGGGCCAGGAAAGAAGCTGGTTAAGCAGATGTAATTTGGTTCTATTACAAATATAATGACATTTAATGTCAATTAAATATTTCAGAGGCTTCACATTTTATTAGAATCAAAATCAAAAGTTTATTTTTATTATTATTATTTTTATTATTTTATTATTCATATGTGCATACAAGGCTTGGGCCATTTCTCCCCCCTGCCCCCACCCCCTCCCTTACCACCCACTCCGCCCCTCCCTCTCCCCCCTACCCCCTCAATACCCAGCAGAAACTATTTTGCCCTTATTTCTAATTTTGTTGTAGAGTATAAGCAATAATAGGAAGGAACAAGGGTTTTTGCTGGTTGAGATAAGGATAGCTATACAGGGCATTGACTCACATTAATTTCCTGTGCGTGGGTGTTACCTTCTAGATTAATTCTTTTTGATCTAACCTTTTCTCTAGTTCCTGGTCCCCTTTTCCTATTGGCCTCAGTTGCTTCCAAGGTATGTGTTAAGGGCAACAAATGCTAGCCAATTTTTTAGGTGTCTTACCTATCCTCACCCCTCCCTGTGTGCTCTCGCTTTTATCATGTGCCCAAAGTCCAATCCCATTGTTGTGTTTGCCCTTGATCTAATGTCCACGTATGAAGAACATACAAAAATCAAAAGTTTATATTGGATAGATATATTTATTTCAGTATTTAAGTAGCCTGCCATTTCCAAAGCAGTATTTTCAGAGTTTTTTTTTTTTCTGAGTGATGTCACCAAAGTTTGTGTCCAATACCTGTGGAGGCATCACAGTGAATGTGAGATAGACAACGAGATAGCTCTGGGATCTGACAGACCAGGAGCCAAAACAGTTAATGCACAAGAGAATGTGGGAACATTTTTTAATTTTAAGTGCCAACATTTTATTTTCTTGGACTTCATATATATTTAATGGCTATTAAATCCTTTTTTTTTTTTTTTGGTGGTACTGGGATTTGAACTTGTGTTTGTTAGGCAGGCACTCTACTACTTGAGCCACATCTCTAGCCCTTTTGGTTTGGTTATTTTTAAAGATAGGGTTTTTAAAAATATTATTATTTAAAATAACCTTTATAAGTGCTAACATTTTAAACTTTGTTAGAAGATTCCAAACATATACAAAGTAGGGAGGCTGGCACCACGAACCCTAATGTACCTATCATACAGCAAGGACTAAATGAAGGTCAATTGCACATCATCCCCTTCACTCCACAGCTCAGTTATTTTGAAGCAAACCCCAGGTACTGTATATTTCACCTATAAGTATTTCACTATGTATCTCAAAAAAGAAGCACTTACTTAGAAAACATAACTAAATTACTATTTATACACTTAAAATACAGAGCATTCCTTCATATCATATGTTCAGTTGCTATGTAAATGTCTGGTATTTTCTGGTATTTTTTGTTGGTTCCAATCGGAATTCAAACTACTCATACATTACAGCTGGTCTGATGTGACACATTTCAAGCTTTTAGAAGATATCTTCACTTAGCTGTCAGGAAGAGGAATATCCTTTGAGGCTGTAGAAAGAAGAATCCCACCTCCCACCCCCCACCCCCACCCCCACCCCCCACCCTGGTCCTGGAGATTGAACCCAGGGTCTTGGACATTATAAGCAAGCACTCTACCACTTGAGCTATGTCCCGAACCAAAGAATAATCTTTTGACAGCAGGGTTGTTGACTCTGTTCCCCTGAGAATGCTGTCCTTTGGGGCCTGCTCACTGGGAATTCCAGACACACTGGACTGACAGGACTGAGGAAAACAACATTTGCTGAAGCACCCTGAATTTCCTGAAGCAGGGGAAATAGGGAAGTCTTCCCAGGGGAGGTGATATCCAAGATCTGACCTGAGGGAGAATAGTTGACAGGGCACAGAGAGATTTGGTTGTGGAAGAAGAAAGTACCTTCTGGGCAGAAGGAAAAAGCATGTACAAAAGTCCTGACCTGTAAGGGCACAGGACATGTGTGACCCCAGTGGTTCAAGTAGGCTGGCAGTTGAACCCCAGGGGAGTGTTAAGACATAATGTGGAAAATTTAAACCAGAAGTAGGTCATAAAGATGGTGCATACCAGACTGAGGGATTTGAGCTTTAGATGGCATAGGGGAGCCATTAATGCACACAATGGTGGTGATTACAACTGCAGCTTTAAAAAATGACTAACTGAAGCATGGAAAATAGTTTGGAGTGGGAGACAAGACTGAAGGCCAAGCGTTCAGTTAAGCAATTGCAGAAATTCAATTCACAGATGATTATGGCTAAAATTAAGTTGGTGACAGTGGGAAAAGAAAGGAGTCGAGATTCAAGAGATATTAAAGAACTTAATGTTAGTGGAGTAGATGAAACCAGAGGGAAAGAAGAATAACCAGATGGAATTCTGAAAAGGTCCTTATTTAAGGAACATGTCCCTGAAAAGGAGTTTTTGAAGGAGATCAAGAAATTTCAGCCAGAGAGGGGAGGAAAATAAATGCAGATAATCAGGTAATTATTTCAGGGGCATTGAATTTCTGTCCCATCAACTTAAGATCCTAGAGTTCTAGGGCTGGTGGAGTGGCTCAAGTGATAAGAGCGCCTACCTAGCAAGTGTGGGGCCCTGAGTTCAAACCCCAGTGCTTCCAAAACAAGAAAAAAGAACAAAATCCTAAAGTTCTTCCAGGGTTTTACTTTTCCTGTGCTTGGAGCATGCCAGCGCTTACACCCACCACCAAGAAGAGTCCATGAACTTTTAGATATTCTCAAATGCAGATCAAAGATCTGATTTCCTTCCCCCCACCCAGTAGTTCCTGGCATCACTCCTGGGTGAAGGACAGGAAGTCTTCCCCTTCAGAGAAGACCCAGCTTTGTACTCATGGGGAAACCTTGCCTTACCTGTGCAGATTGTCCCCTCAGGGGAGTAACGGGATCAGACTACATCAGGATACCTATAACCTCCATGCAACGTAGGGACACTTAAGTTGCTGGCAGGCAAAAGTAGGCCATTATTTCTTACTACGCAGTTCAGGAAGAGACAGGGTAAATGGTTTAGAGATACAACTGGGTTCAAATCCTACCTCTGTCTCTTATAGATGGTTATCATTTGCTTAGCCTCACTAATTCTTAGCTCCCTATGCTGTAAAATGAAGAATAACTCTTCATGAAGAGTCGATGAGCGTGTTGCACAGTTCGTCAGCATGTAGGCCTGCTTTCTTATTTGTTAAAGAGAAAATACCTTTATTCACAGGCGACATCTGTGTTGGCCCACAGACATGCTTCTCTCTGACTTAGTGTCGGCAGTTCTACCCCTTGTTTCAGGTCCCTCGACTCCCAGCTGAAAGAGAACTAGCAGGCTGTAGGAGTTTTTGCTAAGGTCATTGACTCTCCTGAGAACATACCAGCAGGAAAACTCTACACCTTCCAAGTTCCGAACTTCTCTCATCTTTCATCATAGCTGAACTCTCCAGTTAGCAACCACTGAAGAGCTCTAACTTGTGCAGAAGCCAACAGTGCTGTAGTAGCTTTATGCAAAAGTGATGAGCATGGAAGGGAAGTGTAAAGGCAAAGGGGACATCATGACTCTGTTGTAATGTTAGGAAATCACAGCTACAAAATGCTGTTTGTGAGAGGACCAAATTCTAGGTGCCTTGTCAGATTGACAGAGTGTAGGGATTGTAGTGGGGGGTACAAATGAGCCCAGTTCATGGTTTGGGAGCCAGTCAGAGGCACTACTCAAAGGACATTTTTCAATAGTTATTGGTGTTCTCTTAGCGATTCCAAATGCATTGTGAGCACAGACTGCCTTTAGAGCCATGGCAGGGGCTCACAGTGAACTCTGTCCCACCAGCCTAGCTAGAGAATGACTTCAACTTGGTGAAAGCTGCTCAAATGTGAAGGAGAGCGTACACTCCAGAGGTCAGAGAGTAAGTGTCACAGTGACTGCCAGACTATTAGCTAAAGCCAGGCACTGCCCACCACCAACCTCAAATGCTGGGACACAAGTCAGCCTCTCCAAGCCTTAGGTCTCCCATAAGTCAAAAATGATGGCATTAGCAGGGCACCAGTGGCCCACACCTGTAATCCTAGCTACTTAGAAGGCAGAGATCAGGAGGAATTGCAGTTTGAAGCCAGCCGGGGCAAATAGTTTACAAGACCCTATCTAGAAAATACTCAGTGCCAAAAAAGGCTGACAGAGGTAAAACACCTGCCTAGCAAGCGTGAGGCCCTGAGTTCAAATCCAAGTACTGCAGAAAAACAAAAACCAAACAAAAAACTAAGTCAAAAAATGGCTGGGGGGGTGTGGATCAAGTGGTAGAGCACCTGACTAGCAAGTGCAAAGCCCTGAGTTCAAACCCCAATACCATTAAAAAAAAAAGTCTTAAACTAGATGACCTTCTGGGATGTTCTCTAGTCCTATGATTTTATAATTTCATGTGCATTTTCATAATCTCAATCTATAAAACAGCCCCAAATGTATTTATTTATTTATTTGTGGGTCTGAACTCAGAGCTTTGTGCTTGCAAAGCAAGAACTCTACCACTTGTGACATGTCTCCAGTCCATTTTTCTCTGCTTATTTTGGAGACGGAGGCAGGAGGGAGGGGGGGCCTCACAAACTATTTGCCCAGGCTGGCCTCAAACAAAAATCCACCGGATTTCTGTGATCCTCCTAATTTCTGCCTCCTAAGTAGCTAGGATTAAAGGCATGAGCTACAGGCGCCCGGCTACAAATATATTCTTTTAAATTCTTTATTTTAAGGCTCTCTTTTCTCAAAACATCTTTGGCACACTAGCAAGAAACTGAATTTTGGGGACAGGTCTGAGAAGAGGGTAGGAAACACAATTTCATATGCCATCCACTTAGATGGGGCATTTCTATCTTCATTTTCTAGAGAAGAGAAATACTGGTTAGAGCTGGAAAAACTTGAGGCTTCTTTTGTCTGGTAGGAAAGAAAGACCAATGATTTACAAGTGGCCAAAACACTGTAATGGTCCAAAGACGAATAAGAAAACAGCCTTATATTCTTGGTTAAGATGGTTCTATTAAGGACAGGAAGTAATAATCTGTACATTATAGACATCCAGCAAGAACCACTGGAATACATGTGAATACTCAAGGGATTTGAATATTTTATTGAAGGTCTCTAAGTGGTCTGTCAGGAGAAGGTACCAACTACTTAGTGTTTCTTCCTATACATAATGATCAACTTTAAAAAATTATGTAGATAATAAACTAACACATTCTTCCTACAAATTTTCAAATAATGCAGAAGTATACAGATGTGGAAGACAGATTTCTTCTTCACCACCTCACCTCTCTGCCCTATCTGATCCTCCACCCTTCTTTGGAGATAGTTACTATTACCACTTAATATCCTTCCATTTTTCTCATGTCCCACCCTAAATACTCTTCTCCCCTTAAAGACCAATGATAAAAGGAGCACCAGAAAGAATGAAAAGCTTAGAAATCACTTACTTGCTGCCACTGATCTAAAGAGAAAAGAAAGAAAGTCATAAATAGTCATTCTCTTGATGTGCCTTCATGTACTTGCTTCTAGAAGCTAACCTACTGTGTAAGATTAATATTGTTGGTAAGACAGGAGGCTGGCAAAGCATCCTGGAAAAAGATAATACCAAACCAACTAACTTTATTACTCCCATGAGGAGGTGCTATTTCTCTAAAGTCATTTATTTGGCATGTGACAAGAAGGTAATCAGGGTCTATATGGTTGATAGCCATCTTCAAAGAATGAATGAATTTGGGAGAAAGTGCTTCTATCACTACATCTACAATTAAGTTTAGCAAACTTGCACATAACTTTGGGTAGAGGTGAAGCTTCTTGTTGGGTTTTTAATGTGGCATTGCTTCAGGAAGAAAAATAAGTCATAACCAACAGTGGGTGCCCAACCAAAGTGGCAGACACCACAGTTCTAGAAAATGCACTGTCTTTAAGGCAGGAAGCACAGCCTGCTGAGTCTTGAAAGGTTTTCCTCTTTTCCTATTTATTGATAATTCCAAGAATTGGAAGTCATTGACTCTAATTACAGCATCTTATGTTTAAAGTCATAGCAATTTCTAACACATAGAGAGGGGTCCCAGTATGTATTTGTTGCTTATTATGATCTCTTGTTGGTTAGACCCATTACTGACTAGTAGTTCTTATACAACCTGTTAAGAAATCCTGAGTTAAGTACAGCATGCTGAAACCATCCTGGGGATGGGCAAGGCCTTTAGAAGGGTTTCCAGCAGTGATACTGAGATGGCTGGTAGGAAGCAGGAGTGCCTGGTGGGTCAGCACATGGCTCTGTGGCAAGAGGACATGGGCACCCATCCTGACTTTGCCAGTTGCTGTGTAATCTGGGTCAAGTTACTTAATCTCTTTCTAAATTTCACTTTTTCTGAGATGTAAAAATGCTGATAATAGTAACATTTTCTCATAGATTTGATATGAAAAATAAATGAGAATGTGACTAAAAGTACCTGGCCCCATAACAACTACTAAATAAATTTTAAAACTTCTTCCAAACTCATGAGTTTGCTACTTATAAAGTTGTCACAAGCTCTTCAGCTAGAAATGTTTTTGCATGGTGACACCTTGGAGGCTGCCGCACTTAAAGCTGAACTTCTAACTTTCCCTCCATAATGGTTCCATATGTCAGTACATGAACTGAACACTGCCGTGCCTGAAGAGATTCAGCCTCTGTTCATAATATTTGTCACCCCTATGATTGTATGAGCTGTGCTTATGACATGACATGATTAATTTCCCCTGGGAAAAGGTCAAGCTCCTAATTATCCCATTTCTGTTGCAGTTTTGCACCTGCTGTGGAATACAGGGAGAAAGGAAAGAAAGGCAAAGCAGTTCACTTTGCTGAAATTGATGGTCCAGCTTCAGAAAGGTGGCTGAATGTCATCCATGCCAGTGCTGCCGGTGGCACCTCTAAATGGAATTACTTAAGTCTTTACATACTTGACACAGATACCAGTCCCATTATCCTAGGTTGAAATACAAATACGCACCAAGAAAACATTGGCGATAACTTAGAATCATGGTGGGAATTACAAATAGTCCCTGCAAAGGTACCCTTGTGATGATTTGGCTATTAGCACCTTGTCACGTCTTCCGACTTTTTTTTTTTTTTTTTAACTTGAAAATGGTCACTGCTCCAGAAACAAATGATTATTTGTTTATTTATTTGTTCTGGGAATTGCACCCAGGGTTTCATGCATGCTGGGCAGGTGCTCTACCACTGAGCTACATTCCCAGCCCACTAAATGATTTATTTTTTTTAATTTTATTTATTGATTTATTTAGTCATTTTTACATTTGCTCACGTGTACACATTGTTTGGGCCACCTCCCAAATGATTTCTTTTAGATGGGATGTGTGTTTACATTTTATGGTGGGCAGGGTGCACCCTTCTGTCCCTAGCGATATAAATATAATGTTTAGCAAAGTACACTCTGAAATGGTATCACATTAAGTGAAACCCAAGCATGACCCTCAGGCTCTCATTTCTTTTTACTCAGTGCTTCATGCACTTCAGGACAGATTTCGAGGCAACTGAAATCTTGTAAGACACAGCCAGAGACTGTTGTATTCCAAAACAGGTTGACAGACAAAAGACATGCTTCGAGAGAGGATAAGTCGGCGAAAGCCTTAGAGAAGCGAGGTCAGCCGGGCACCATCACCCTGGAGGATGCCAAGTGTGAGTGGCTCTCCCTGCACGTGCTCTGTGCGCGGGCCTCTGCGCGGCTCGCTGTGTGACCTGCGCAATCGCCCACCTTCTGCTTTCAGTTGTTGCTTTGCTTTCATTACAAGACACTGAGATGCAGAGGGTCTGCTCTTTCACGACGTTTATGAGGTATGTCATGCTGGCTAGATGCGTGGATATTTCCCCTTTCTTTTGCAGTAACTTTGTCCGGTAAGTGAGAAATCTGACTTTTAGAGAACGAGCTTGAGGCTGCCTCCTTATAGGCCATCGGTCTCAGGACTCAGACTCAAAGAGTCTGAGAGAGGAAGTCAGGAGTCCCAGGAGCGGGAGGTCGCAGAGCCCCAAAGTCCCAGGTTAAAGCGTATGGAGAGCTTGCTGTCAGAGTCCCAGATGATACGGTCATTTATGTGACTGGAGAACAAGTACTTAGTTGTGTGACTCTGGGCGTTCCTTTACCTTTCGAAACGTCAGTTTCCTTAGCTACAAAGTTGGGAACTCCATGGCAGTGGCCCCCTCACGCGGCACCACACTTGTGAGTGCTCAGCGGCAGTGGGCACCTGCTGTTGGCAGCTTCCCCACACTCTTACCACTCATATGAAGACGGACACCGGGGACCGCTGCTCGGAAGGCCTTGCCCCGCGCAGAGCACACTCAGCCTGCAGGTGGGTGCCACGCTGGAGGGGACCTTCCTAGGTAAGTACTCAGCTTCCATCTGTCAGGAGGACTCTGAGAGTTTTCTGCACTGGCTCCCAGAGTCCCTGTAGGACTGAAGTACCTTTGTCCATTGTGATGACTTGTTAACCACCCCCTTCGCTGACTTTCTTCCCTTTTCTGTCCCATATCCTCACTCCCCTGCAGGTAGCTGTGAGGCCACTTACCACGTTAACTACTTACACAGATCATTGCTTCAGGGTCTATTTCTGGGGGAAACCCTACCAGAGACAAGCAGCCATTAATATCTTGAAAAAAAAATCTGTAATAGTCATCTTCATCCAACGCTAAAGGTTTAAGAAAGCATGCCAGAGTGAGAATTTCCATTTGGGGCCAGAAAGAAGGCAGCAAAGGTTTTATAAGAATATTTAGAAAGAAAATAGTAATTGCTAATTAAAAACAAATAGCATTGTAAAATCAGTGTACTTTTTTTGGAGACCAAGACATGAAAATTTAATAGCATATGCACTATGTTCTAGCAATTTCACTTCTGTCTGTAATGTTTTAAAAACATCTACATGTCTATCAATACAGGATTAAATAACTTATTATATACAGATTACCCTCTTATTATATTCAGAATACCCTGTTTAAAAGAATGAAAAAAGTTACACACAGTATTGCAGAAAGAGGTCCATGCTACACACATAAGTGACAAAAGCAAATTGCAAAGAATCCTGCCTGCACCATTATCCCATTTACTACCAGAAGAAAACCATTAAGGCAATATGTTCATGCAAATGTAGATATGTTGGTGGGGATGATATTATACGTGAGTAGCTTTGCTTTAGAAAGCTTAGGAAGGCCAGGCGCCAGCGCCAGTGGCGCAAGCCTGTAATTCTATCTACTTTGGAATAGAGATCAGGAGAATCATGGTTCAAAGCCAGCCCAGGCAAATATCCAACACAAAAAAGGACTGGAGGAGCGATTCAAGTAGTAGAGTGCCTGTATAGCAAGTATGAAGCCCTGAGTTCAAACCCCAGTACTGCCAAAAAGAAAAAGAAAAAGAAAATTTAGGAAGAATTCATTTCAAACTCATAGTGGCTACTCCCACTAGGAAGTAGGATAGTGACAAAGGGATGGATGATTTATTCCATACATTTCTGTACATTTTTTAAACAATGGAAATACATTAAATAAAAACTTATAAAAAAGAAAATTGATTAGTAAACACAACTCTAAGAATTTAGTTCCTGACTTCCCCAAAATCTTTTTTTTAAACACAAGTCAGATTTCTTACATATTCAACAGAATAGGAGATAGAATTTTAAATGGTAGATTAAAATTTTAAGTGGTAGTTTTAAATGGTAGGCTGTGATAGACTGATAGCATATGTTTCTACTTATGTTGTGTTACCATTATTTTTAATGAGCAGTCTGATATTTGAGATAGGTTAGTATTGATTTCTTTATTTTTCACATTTTTCCATAGAAATAAGAATCTCGATAATTTCCTCATGGCACTATTGTACTATTTATCTTATTACTTGGAAAAAAACTCGCTGGAAAAGAAACCCAAAAGCTATATGGTGTAAGTAAGATTTCACGCAATGTGCTTTAGAGTTTTATCACCGACATATTATTCTAGGGTGAAGAGATGATGGAGTTGTTTTTGAAATATTTTGAGTGTACTTGAGACATTTTATATGTTTTTAAAGCTCACTGAATGATTCATACAGGAATTGTCATAACAAAATATTTCAACTGGTATCGACCAGCACTGCCCGATTAAAAGATACAATGAAAGTCATATTTATAATTTAAAATTTCTGTGAAATTAATTTAGAATTATTTTATTGAACCCAGTGACTCAAATTATTATCATTGCAACATGTGGTCAATACTAAGAAGTTATTAATGGGATGTGTATATTTTTGAAGTAAGTCAAGTCTGATGTCTCTTACATTAACACTATTCAGACTGGTCACATTAAGTCTTCAACAGCTACATGTGGCTTGTGTGGCCAGTGGCTACCTATCAAACAGTGCAGATACGGGTGTTTTTGTATGCTTTTTATGCTTACAAAGTTCTTGCTAAAGGGTTTGCAAGCTTCTAAAAAACAAAAAAAAGCTAAGAATTTTTTTTAAATAGCAGATTTGGTCAAAATGATATTCCATATCAGAGGAAAAACTCTAAGGTTTCTTAAGCTAGTTGAAAAGGACTTAAGAACCTGACCGCTTTATGCAGGAGAAGCTCAAAACATTTACTCCCAGGACAAGAATCCAGGGATTTGGAGTCCACTGCAAGAACAATTCCTCTCAGGCCCGGTGACCTTTCATGAGCTCTGGAACTTTCCAAGGGCCCAGGCTGTCCTAGTACACGTGGATCCAAACCAATGATTTAGCTATTAGGAATGCTGGGTAGAGCCATTAAGTTTTTGTTTTAAAAATGCAAAACTCTTGCATGTAATTAAGCAGTTTGAAAAACATTTTGTGGGCAGATAAATGTTTCTGGATAGCAACTTTTGCTATCCTTGGTTTTAAAGACCAAGTAAATAATTCAAATGCCACTATTCCTGTAAAGCCCTCATAATACACAAGGCAGTGTTATTTCAGGGTGGCATTTCACAGCAGGGCGGCCAGGACACGGGGTGTTTCTATGGTAGCAAGCGAAAGGGTAAAAGCCAGCTGTGGGCTTAGGAGGCCTGAGGATTCTTACTGTCATAAGTTAGACTTCTTAGACTTTGATGGCACTTTGGCTTATTATGTTTTATGTGGTTTTTCTAATTTTACATGGTATATTATGCTTATTGCTAATCTAGCAGAGAGATTTGTTTTATTTCTTAATTTACACATAAAAGAGGAGAAAGGGTTCTTAGTTATTTTTTAAATGCACTAAAACCAGCAGGAACACAGTGGTTTAAGACTGTTTCTTAGAAAGACTTAATTGTAGAATGACAAAAACAAATCAGTTCAACCCTTAAAATTATCGATTCTATTAAATGGATTCTAAAAAAATGATAATAACCTTTCATTTTCAGGCAGTAATCAATCAGTCAGTTGTTGTGATAGAATTAAATATAGATTGTGTTGAGGTATCTGCACAGAAGAAAAGATTGATTTCAGTCAAGTTAGGTTAATAAAAGTCAAGTCCTTAAACAGTTCCTGACTAAATGTAGTACTCCTTTTATCCTTCTATTTTATGTATTTTGGTGGTATCTGGTTTTTCTGATAGAAAAATAATAATTGTATTGAATATCTTAATGCATAAAATTCCCCCGAATTTTGGATAATTTTTTTAAAAGATAATTTTCCAGGAGAGAGATAATTGGGCCAAAATTTATGCTTATTTCTCTAGTTCTTTAAAGAGTGGTTTTCAGACACGGAATTTTGATGCAGGCAAGACAGTTCTGCTGGAATGTTGTATCTAGGTTATCTTCCCTTCTCTTTTTTCCCCCATAGCTTTTCCTTTTTTTGCACTTCAACACATAAGTTCTTTTTTTTTTTTTTGGCAGCACTGGGATTTGAACTCAGGGTCTCATGCTTGCTAGGCAGGCACTCTTACCGCTTGAGCCCCTCCACCAGCCCAATACATAAGTTCTTTATGTATATTTCCAAATGTGGCCCAAGGACTCACTGCCTCAGAATCACCTGGGTGATTGTTTTAACTTTCCTGGGCTCTACCCAGAATCTTGGACAGGGGTGCACTGGGAATCTGTACTTTTAGAAAGCATCCCAGGAGAGTTTTCATCATTTATAACTTACTAAAACTCGAAAACCATTGGCCAAAATGTTTCAGTGCGTTTCTTGATGGTTGTTGTTTGATTTGGTTTGATTTCTGCAGCAAAAGAAGAGTATTAGCTACTGGCTCTTCTGGCAAAGTCGAATGAAGGGTGAGGGTGAGCTCTGAAGGAAACAGGGAGATAGGCACTGGGATATGGCCGTTGGGATACACGTGGAGGGTACATTTGGGTTATGTTTCTTTGTTGAGTTTTGTAAGCCATTCATCACATTTGATAAATACCCTATTATTCTTAAACTCAACCCTTTTCCCTAACAGCACATCTCCATATAGTGATTAACTTTAGAGGGGACAGTAATTTGTCCCTGTGTGTAGTGCATTTCATTTGGTGTCCAGTGATACTTTTCAATAGCAGTGTATTGGAATGTGTTGTCAGCAATGTTGTTTCCTACTGTATTGTATTACAAAACTTTTAAAATTAGGCTTCAGACATGCTGCAACCTAAGAATAGATTGTCTGTGAGGAGGTGAACTTGCAACTCAACTGGAGCTGGGGCTGAGTTTTCATAGGGAAGCAATGTTATAATTAATCCCAGAATCCCCGGAGCAGCGGTCCGCAAATGCCTTCTTAGCAAATACAGAGCTCAGAGCTGAGCCCCGACGCTTGGCAGCAGTACTAGGGACCTGGGAGAGGCAGGGCCAGCGGAGTCTCCACATTTGTGTTAGGAAAACAGCAGGAACTTGAGCTGACAAGTATAGGTGGCTTGTTAGCTGAGCTGTTCTATAAAAACTAGGACAAAGCTGTGTGTAAAACTGGGGACACATAGATCGCCTAAAGTATGAGAAGTCTTTACACAAGTGAAAATTCTCTACAAGCTTGGGGTGCTGATTCCAGTGATTAATAATTACCAAGGGACTTTGAGGATTTCTCTATGTACCATAGCTCGAGTAAAACAAATTAATTTGTAAGTGAAATCTGTTGATTCACTAGCATTTCTTGCAAGATAATTTAATTCTGACACTTTGCTAATTAATGTAGGCATTTGCCCAGATTAACCCATCCTGTCTTTTCCTCCCTCCAGGGGCCTGGTGGAGAAAAAAGAGATGGAGCTGGTTTTGAGTAAGTTAGAAGCAGCACAGAAATACCTGGCACAGAAGTACTGTCTCCTTGTGCTGGGCTTGGGTATGCCCGACAAGCATCACATGTGCTGTGGAAAGTAAGCATGAGCTCCAGATGCTACTCGGTGGTCACAGACTCAGGACCTTCCTGTTGACTGCTGGTACCCTTGAGAGTGCTTGTTCCCTTTCCGTTGTCCAGAATAATTGGGCTCTGGTGAGAATCTGAGCACTTGTGATGTCTGCCTTGAGAGATCTAGTGAGGATGGAAGGAATTCCTGTCTCAGCTGATTTTGCAAGCTCTCCCCTTCTTGGGATTAAATGACTTGATCTCTCAGATCTGTTGGTGGGATGTCGCTGTCAATCAGGAAGAGTCTCGCTGCCAGACACAGGCTACTTAGCTGCCTCGCAGAGGTGGAGTGAAGGGCCAGGGGTACAGGAGGTCTGCTCATTTTACAGCACTGAGGTAGGAGTAATATGACACATCTTACCTTAGGATGATATTGGCTACATGACTGTAATTAAATTTTTAAAAAGAAGTCTCTTCACAAGGAAGTTTGGGATCCCAGGTAGAAAGCTGTGTCCTCAACCCCAGATCTCCCCTGGGCAGTTGCACAAGAGCCACATCACAAGCACAGCTGGAACCTCAAAACCAAACAACAACGACTCGATAGGAAAAGAGCCCCAGTACATGATTGACCCCACATTTTCTTTTGTGGTTTGAACTCAGGGCTTCCTACTTGCAAACCAGGTGCTTGGGCCACGCCTCCAGTCTCCCCACATTTTCAAAGACAGCTTTGCCAAAGAGCTCACTTCCACAGCTGTGCCTGTATACTTTTCTGTGTTCTACATTTCCTGTGTACTTTCTTCTACCTTTAATAGCAGCTATAGTCCTCTACCTTGTAATACAACCATTTGCTTAGTGATTCTTTTTGTGAAGATTTGTTTTTCTGTTATACAATACTTTTGCAAAGAATATCTTTATGCAAATGACTCTGTTCATTTGGAGTATTTCCTTATGGCTTATTACCCAGAATGTGTTTACCTAGCAGGCATAAGCAGTTAAATAGCTGTTGATACATATTGCCAAAATGTTCTCCAAAAATGTTAATGGTAGCTGGTGTGACCACCCAAGCCTGTAATCCCATGGTCAGGAGGATGAGACTGGAGGTTCTGGTCAGTCTAGCCTACATCATGAGATCCTATCACAATAAAATCAAATAAATGAGTGAGTAAATGCATGCATACAAGCATACATAGATGTTAATAGTGGGCGTCATGGCACATGCCTTCAGTCCTGGTGGCTACTTAGGAGACTGAGGAGGAGGGTCACTTAAGCCCACAAGTTGGAGACCAGCCTGGGCGACATAGCGCAGTCCCAATTCAAAACAGAAACAATAAAAAGAACAGATTCCAGAGCCCTCCCCAGATTGCCTTGCATGTAGAGCTGGGAACCTTAGTTCAAAAAGGTTAAGACATTGTGTGTTCCCATCAGTAATAACCACACTTGGTTGTATTGGGTTTTATTACTTTAACACCTTTGATAGTTTAAAAGTGTATAAAAAGTTTAAAGCTGCTTCATCTGACTGAATAGCTTTCATGATTGTAGACTCTATGTTCTTTGTATAATGTGTGTGAATAATTTACTGTGTGCTTATTTAGTTTTTCCATGTATCAAGGGTGGGGGAATGGGAATTTGTATAATTGCTTTATATGTATTCCACAGCAAGGATTGATCATTTGTTTTTCTAGGTCATTGCTTTCTTTTGGGTAGTCACCTGCCTAGCTAGCAAGCGAGTTCAAACCCCAGTACCACACACACAAAAAATCATCCATAGAAGTTAAAAACAACACTAGACTTTTGATCCGTTTTAAATCTTTTATAACACAGCAGATGAGCTATGACTGTTAAGATACTTTTCTTTTTTTTTGGCTGTACTGGGGCTTGAACTCAGGGCCTTCATCTTGAGCCACTTCACCAGCCCTATTTTTGTGAAGGGTTTTTGATTTAGGGTCTCAAGAACTATTTGCCTGAGCTGGCTTCAAACCTCCATCCTCTGATCTCTGCCTCCTGAGTAGTTAGGATTGCAGGCGTGAGCCTCCAGCACCCAGCAAGATACTTTTGTTTACTAATATCTAACTTTCCAAAATTATCTGATACTGTCTATTAGTGATTTTTTCTACTGCAACATTTCTTCCTTATTAGATGTTGAATTTTTCTAGTATCTTAATCCAAGTTGGAAAAGTTGTTGAATTGTATTGATCAGTTTTTCAGTTTACTTCTGCTCTGATTTACTCAATACGAGTTGAGCGTCTGCCATGTGGCGTGGTGGTGCCAAGGGCTAGGGTACAAAGAAAACACAGTCAGATAAGCCGTCAGGTAAGGAAACCAGAGATTGCTGATGGAGATGTAGTATTGTGGAGATGTAAACAGGGAGTAGGACCCACGCAGGAGAGGTGAGGGGTGTGCCCCAGGGACTCTAGGTGGATGAATGAGTACAGGCAGTGAACAAGGCTGGAAAGGGGGTGACTTATTTTAATGGCTGATAGCAAGAGCTCACTCTTGTGACCTTTGGGAAGACTGTATTTGGTAATCTTGCCTATTTGAGATAAAATTCTAGTTTGCCCTAAAGATAAATTCCTTAAAGAAGAATTTCTGGGTCAGAGTATGCACATTTAAATATGATACATAATGTGTGTATTTTAAGGGTCTTATTCAAGAGCAGATGTTACTACAGACAAGGAAATAAACGGAAAAACAGATCATTTGTTAGAGTGAAGGGGTATGAGGGATTTAAAGAAAGGTCTTGCAGCCAGGTGCCAGTGGCTCACTACTGTAATCCTAGCAACTTGGGAGGCTGAGATTGGGAGGATCGTGGTTCAAGGCCAGCCTGAGCAAACAGTTTGTAAGACCCCCATCTCAAACAATAGCTGGGTCTGGTTGTGCTGGCCTGCCATTCAAGTTACTTAGAGGCTAAGATCAGGAGGATTGCGGTTCTAGGCCAGCCTGGGTAAAAACAGTTTGCAGAGACCCCCATCTCAACAGAAAAAAGCTGGGCATGGTGGTATGCCAGTAGGAGGATCATAGTCCAGACCTGCTAAAATAACCAGAAGGAAAAAAGGCTTGGTTCAAGCACTAAGGGCCTGCCAAGCAAGCATGAAGCTTATCACACCAGTTAAGGTTGGATCTTTTGAGATATAGAACATTTTTACTGTTCCCATTCTCTTTTATTTCTCCATTTTTCTTTTGCAGTTTGGTAATTTAAAATATTTAATGAAATTCTATACTTTGCTGCCCTTACCTTGTTTTTCCAGTTTATTTTGCTTAATTTTTTTGCCATAACTAACCCTTACTAAACATGTGTCTTTCATCAGAGCTTAGATTGCTACCTTTCTGTGTAATGAACTTAACAAATATGGGATGTAGCTAATTTTTTTCCCCCAGTTTTTCTGGATCTTCAGCACTTTTACATTTTCCTACAAAAGGAAAAGTCAAGTTGGACAGAGGCTGAATTTGGCTACCTTCATCCTTTAGTTGGGGTAGATTTTTTCCACGTTACTGCGGGGCCTCAGGATCAGGCAGGCCCTCTCTCAAAATCTTCTTAGCTATTTCTAAGGACCTATGTAGTGAATAAAGTTTAAAAACAAATATTCATGTGACATTTCTTTCAAAATAGGACTTGGTCTGTATTGATGTTTGTGTCCGTATATTTTCGGTTCAGGCTCATTTTCTTTGTTTTAAGTTGTATCTCGAATCTCGGCAGTGCTGGCCGTTTCTCTTCTCTTGCACCCTTGTTTCCACGCTGGTGAGGGTAGATGTTCCGCTTCCTAGCTCCATGATCTCAGTTCTCAGTGTATGTGTGATTGACTGTGACTTGAGAGTACTTTGTGGTCTTGAACAACCCAGTCTTCGGGTATGAGGACTGCCCCCAAAGCACGGTGAGGCCAAAGAAAGGCAGGCAGATGCAGCCTTGTGCAGATTACAGTTTACTTGGGGACTTACTGACAGACTTACTGATTGGTCCTAGGGAGCAGCAAGACCAGTTGGATCCCTGAAATTTGGGTCAGAAAAAGGGACATATCTACGGGTTAGGATAAAAGTGACTTCATCTGGCTGTAATGTGCCTGATTTCTTAAGATAACATCAGAGAGCTAGGTGCATCCCTGGAGCCAGGGTCTGATTGTGGAGCTCCCCATATCACTTCAGTGGAATTGTCTACTACAGTTTGCTGAGAAACTGCAGGAAAAACTGACTAGAGTTATTCTGGGGCAATCATGGTGGTTACAACTCAAGATGGCTGCAGTCATGTCAAGCTGAATCTATAACCCTCTGAATGCATCCGCAGCAACATTCATTCTTTATTCTTCTACATCAGTTCTGCTTATTTATAGTTTTGCTACTGTGTTCACTTCCTTTTGTAGAGTTGGTGCATTTTGGCTCTGTCTTCCACTGTGGCATCGTGAAAACGGGCTGTTGCTCTTCCAACTCACTGCCAGTTCTGCACCGAGGCCACATGTCTTGGTCTTTTGGGGCTGCTCTAACAAAGTAACATAGACAGGGTGGCTTATGAATAACAGAAATGTATTTCTCAGCGTTCAGGATGCTAGCATGATTGGGTTTTGGTGAGGTTCTTCTGCCAGAGAGCTACAGACTGGCAATGTCTAATATCCTCACGTGGCAGAAAAGAGTGAGAGCTCTGTCTGGGATCCCTGTCTCAGTGCGAATCCCATACACAGGGGTTCTACTTAATTATTCTGACTTAATTACTCCTAAAGGCCTCATCTTTAATACCGTCACCTTGGGGATTAGGATTTTGGGAGGCACAAGTGTTTAGTCCATTGTGCGTTGTTCCACATGAGCTGTTTCCAGCCACTGTCTGAGCGCAGCAGGTCCAGTGCTACCAGACTCGGGACTTTTCTGACACATTACTTTGCCTCAAGGACTCCCTTTGGCTTGCTCAAACTTTTCCAGTTGGCTTGTCCTGTCTTTCCTCTCTTACAGGAGTCAGACCTGCAATGAAGGGTGACGACTCTCCCTGTTTTCTCCAGTCCCTCATTTTTCTATCAGTCATTTTTTCAAATAAATCTTTGTGGAACTGGA